ACATGCTAATGGGGGAAACAACATATACATAAAGATTATATATGTATACATACATACATACACACACACACATATATATACAAACATACTTTATAGATATACATACAAATACACACATAAATAACACACTATATATATACACACACACTATATGTATATATATACACTATATGTATATATACACACTATGTATATATACACATATACACACACTATATATATACACATACACTTTACGTATACATACACATAAATAACACACTATATATATACATATACTATATGTATATATATACACTATATGTATATATACACATATACACACTATATATATACATATACTTTATATACATATACATATACACACATAAATAACACTACATATATACACACTATATACTTATGTGTGTGTGTGTATTATATATATACATATATACACACACAATATCTGTACACACACACACACAATATCTGTACACACACACACACATATATTGGCTGGTTGTTGTCCTTTGTTCTCGAAGAGGACCACAATGACACGACTGTGCTAGTTTCAGTGTGTCCCACTGTGGCTGACCAGCCCAATACGAGCTCGGAATGCTCTACCGCAGGTCGGGCACAAATAATCCATGTGAACATTTGGGGAGGATTCTCTAAATTTGCGCATCTCGCATTTCTTTTGAGCTCTGCTTTGCTCATAGAGCACAGCGCCTTCTTTGATGTGGGCACGCCATGCTGGGTGGTCCTGCACCAGTGTCTCCCATGCCACACAATCAATTCCAAAGTTCTTAAGAGGAACCTTGACAGCGTTCTTGTATTGCTTCTTCTGACCACCACGTGAGAACTTGCCCTGTGTTGAGTTCTCCATAAAATAGTCTTTTTGGCAAGTGTACATTTGGCATTTGAACAACGTGGCCAGCCCATCACTCTCTGCAGTAGAGTTTGAATGCTTGGCAGTTTAGTTTGAGAAAGGACCTCAGTGTCTGGTACCTTATCTTGCCAGGCGATCTTCAGAATCTTCCTAAGACAATTCAGATGGAAGTGATTGTTTCCTGGCATGGTGCTGGTAGACAGTCCAGGTTTCACAAACATACAACAACGAGGTCAGCACAACAGCTCTATAGACCTTCAGTTTGGTGGTCAGTCTAATACCTCTTCTCTCCCACACTTTCCTTCATAGCCTTCCAAACACTGAGCTAGCTCTGGCAATGTGTGCGTCAATCTTATTATCAACATGTGCATCGCTAGAAAATACACTACCAAGGTAAATGAACTTATCCACAGCATTCCAAACTCCTCCATTTGCTGTAACCGATTGTTCCACCTATGGGTGATGTGGTGGTAGCTGATGGAGCACCTGTATTTTCTTGGTGTTATTTATTAGACCAAAGTTAGCACAAGCAGCAGAGAATCGATTCATACTTTACTGCATCTCAGCTTCAGAGGCTGCATTCAGTGCACAATCATCTGCAAACAGAAAATCATGTACCAACATTCCCTCTACTTTGGTCTTGGCTTGTAGCCTTTTCAAGTTGAAGAATTTACCATCAGTGCAGTAGCTGACCTTGCTGCCATGTTCATTCTCATTGAGAGCATTTGACAACATGGCTGAAAACATCATGCTAAAAAGCATGGGAGCAAGCACACAGCCCTGTTTCACTCCACTGGTGACTGGGAAAGCACAAGAGCATGGTCCATTATCCAGAACCCGGGCAAGCATGCCATTGTGAAATTGACGTACAATGCTAGTGAACTTCTCCAGGCAACCAAATTTTGACATAATTTTCCACAAGCCCTTATGACAGACAGTATCAAAGGCCATGGTCAGATCTACAAATGTTGTGTACAGACCTCTGTTCAGCTCCTGGCATTTCTTCTGGAGTTGTTGGGTAGCAAACACCGTATCGACCGTTCCTTGGCCCTTTCTGAAGTGACATTGGCTCTCGGGTAGATGACCATTCAAGGAGGACTCTGGCAAGAATATCGCCAGCAATGTCTAAGAGAGAGACCCCCTGTGACTGTCACAGGACAATCTATTTCCTTTACCTTTATAGAGATGGACAATGGAGGCATCCTTGAACTCCTAGTGGATAACCTCCTCTTGCCATATAACCTGGAAAATTTCAGTCAGCTTTGTTTGAACAGTGCACTTTCCACAATCTCAGCTGGAATAGTATCAGCACCAGGCACTTTGCCACATGAGAAGGACCTAATGGTATTCAGAACCTCTTCTTTAATTGGAACTTCAGCTAGGAATTGACTTCAACCTAGGGGTAAATGGTCAATGGCTTCAGCATTAATTGATGACATTCTGTTGAGAACACCATGGAAGTGTTCAGCCCACCTCTCCAGGATCATGTCCTTATCACTAATCAATGTGGCTCCATCAACACTGAGTAGTTGAGATGCACCATAGGTCTTTGGCATATAGATAGCCTTCAGGGCATCATAAAAGTGCTTTGGATTGTTACTATCAGCATAAAACTGAATTTCACCTGCCTTCTTACTGAGCCAAGAATCCTGCATCTCTCTAAGCTTTGCTTATACTTTACTTTTGGTGGAATTAAATGCTGCTTTCTTAGAGATGGATGAACTATCCTGCAGGTAAACCCTGTGGAGTTCTCATTTTTTAATTCTTTAATTAACTAATTAATTCTTCTGGTAGTCATTTTGCCTTGGGGATGCCTCTTTTGTTGAACGTGAATGTTTAGCTTGGAGAGGATAAGCCTATGACCTATATATGCACACGTACACACACACACACACACACACACATATATATATATATACATACACTACACACACACACACACACACACACACACAGAACATACAAGCTAGATAGAGCAGATGGATATCTGCCTTAGAGGGAAAGGTACTAGTTGCTGTGGGGACCATGGAAGGCCTCCTGGAGGAGGTGCTGCTTAAGCTGAGTCTTGAAGCCAGGGATTCTAAGAGGCTAAGGATTCTAGGGAGCATGGCAGGCATGAGGCACAGACAACACAAAGGCTCAGGGATGGAAGGCGGAACTTTGTAGGCAAAGAAAAGTCCAGTATGGCTGGATCATAGAAGAGAGCATGTAGACTTGAGATGGAAAGAGGCCAGGTCGTGAAGTGCTTTAAATACCAACCACAGGAGTTTACATTTGATCACAGAAATCATGGGGCATCATGAGAGTTTACTGCATCAGATCTATGCTTTCAGAAACATGGCTTTTCTTTGAGTGGAGAATGGATTGGAGTGAGCAGAGTTGAGGAAGAGTCCAATCGGGAGACTATTGCAATAATCCAGGTGAGAAGCGATGAGGTTTGAACTTGTGAGTTGAAAGGGACTCTGAAAATTCTTGTAGAGACAAAGAATTTACAAGTCTTGACTAATTAGAGAGGTGGGTTAAGAGAGAGGAGTCAGGAGCTGACACCAGGGGTTTGTACGCCTAGATGACCAGAAGGATGGTGGCACCCTGCACTACTAGTAACAGGAAAGTTTGGAAGAAGGGCAGGACAAGTTCCATTTTGGACATATTGAGTTTGCAGGGTCTCTGGGACATCCAGTTGAAATTAATCCAATAGGCGGTCGGTGATGGGTGGCTAACTCAGGAGACGTTAGAGCTGGATAAATAGATCTGGAAATCATAGGATCGTAGATTTTGAGCTAGAAGCAACTTTAGAGATGGTCTAATCCAGTCCCTTCATTTTACAGGTGAGGAGACTGAGACCCACGGGATTGGTTTGCCCAGGGTCTCACCCAAGTGGTGTTAAACCCAGATTATAATCCCACTCTCTAACCCTCATTCACTCAAACTCCTTTTCCTAAACTCATGGTTGACTTTGACTCCTCCCTTTCGTCCTCACCGCTGATCAGTTACCAAATCCTGCTGGTTTTGTTTCCACCTGCCCCCTTGCACCTGCTGGTACCTTCTGCCTTCAATGCCCATCCTATTCTTACTCTTCCTTAAACCTGACTCAATCATGTCCCTGCTCACACGTACTGACGTACTGCGTCATTTTTAGAGTGTAAGCTCTCTGAGGTCAAGCACTCCTTGCTTCTGTATTTGTTATCTCCAATAATCAGTAAGCACAGTGCTGCTTACTGTTTTCTTTCCCTCCTTCTAGTTATGCTGCTTTCCCTATAGTTTCCTATCTTCCCAGCATCCAGCAAGCCCGATGCTTGAGCTCCCCTCTTCCCCACTCATCCATCTTTCCTGGTTCTCTGAAGGATCCACTTTCACTAGATCATAGGGCCTTCAGGGTTACCCCTAATCTTAGACTTCAGCTGCTTGTCAGAGAATGGGGGATGCGTCAAGGGGCAACTTACTTTCCCCAATACTAATCTGATAAATGAAAGTCCACCCTTGCCAGCCTCCATAATGGGACCTCTCCATCCTTCACACAGGATAGCACAGAACTAAAGGGGTGTTTAGAAGTCATCTAGTCAAGGCCCCTCATCCTGCAGTGAGGCCCAAAGAGGTAGATGGACTTTTCCAAGGCCACAAAGGTAAAATAAAAGAGCTGGGACTGGAACTTGGGTCCTGTGACCCCAGACCCAGTTAGAAGGGCTCTTTGAGATTATTGGGCCCAACTCCCTTATTTCAGAGGAGGAGGAGGAAAGTGATGTTCCCCGAAGGAAAGTGCTATTTATCATTGTACCTTGTACAAGGTAGGCATTTGTTAAATGTCGGTTGTCAAATTTGACAAATTTGATTTGCCCACCGTCACAAAGCCAGTTAGTGACCAGCCAAGTCTTAAGTCAGAGTATCCTGAGTCCGCCATCCAATTCCTTCACCAAGGTGATGCCAGATTCATTATCCCAGTGGCAAGACAGACACACAAATGGATGGATAGATGGGTGGATGGATGAGTGGATGAGTAGATGCATGGATGGATAGATAGATGAATGGGTGGCACATTTTGAATCTCTTGGATTTAGAACCAAGGGGGAATGGTCAGATTTATATGGAAAAATCAGCTCCTTAGTTGGGGAGGACACCGTCAGTAGCCACAGACATTTGTAAAGCCTGTTTATTGCGTAACTAGCAGGCACAGAATGCAAAACAATTTTACAACATTTAAAAGGTTGTACAATAATTACAATAATAGAATGCACAACAGAAGCGAAAACCTAAGTACAGAATGATGAGTGACACTGATAAATACATTTTTCAATAAAAAGGCATTTTTGTTTTTCTTATGCAGCATTTTTGAAAAGAAAAGGATTTCACTCCACCCAGGACAAGGAAAGAAACATGAGATGAACTTGCTGGCAGCTCACTGATGCACCTGCAGAAAGAAGAAAGGGCCTCCTCCGAGGTCCTGCCAGTGAAGTCACATCGGCATCGAGTCCCAGATCCTGAGCCGTGCCTCTGAGGGCCCAGCTTTCCCCTTTTTGGCAAATGGAAACGATTTGCACCCGACAGGCAGGATGGGATTTTGGGCTGGGGGGCCTCGAGGGCAAAGGCGTTTGTCCTATCTGCTCCTAAAGTGCCATTGGTCATAAAGTGCGCCTCCGTCCTCTTGGCTTCTCAGAAGGGGAGCAATGCATGCTTCCGGAAGAAAAACAGACACGGCAAAGAGGGCTCTCTGGTGCCCTCTGACCCTGACACGTGCAAAAAGGGGACCAAAAACAACACCCCGGGGCAAGGTGCCCTCGGCCAACAGAACAGAAAGCCTCTGGAACGGGCAGGCGTGACACAGCCCACTGGCGTTCCTGCTAATTGTGGTAATGAAGGATTTCTCGCGTGGCTTTGGCACTGGCCGGGCACAGGGAGAGTGCTCACGCCGCAGCATCTTGCCTACAAACACTTTTGCTTCCTTCATCTTTCTTGTCACTTGAGATGAGCTCATCAACAGACTGATAACAGCTTAGCTTTCCCAATAGTTGAGACACTCTGCCTTCTATTGCTCAGTTCATCAATGGCACCGATTCAGAACTGTCACCTGTATTTCCATACGATTAACCGGCTACGGTCTGGGGGCTAAACCAAACAGGTGGAGCAAGTATTTACAACGTAGAAGGACAAAGAGAGGGCACCTAGTACAAACAGAGTTACCAGGCAGTTGTTTTTTTTTTAAAAAACAAAAACACAGAGTGACCTTTCCACCCCCAGCTGCCCCTGTCCAAGGCAGAGACAGTGACAGCCCCATATGAGCGTCCGACAAGGTTATGGCACTTGGTGGCAATGCGAACAAGGGGACGAGAATGACAAGAAATGAGTCCTTCCCCCACCATGCGCACACGCACGCATGTACACACGTACACACACACACACGTACACACATGCACGCATGTACCCACACACGCACATCCCCTCTTTATCTTCAAGACAGTAAAGCTGGGGGGGGGAAACCCAATCTGCAATGCACTGGAAATGCTACCATGGAGTGATTCCATGACAGGTATGGCCAAAGCTACAAACACGTTTCTGCATCAAACCATTTTGTGAAAAGAGGAATCCACTTAGCACACAGACAAGCTTAGACAAAACTGGAAGCGGCCAAGCACATTTTACTCTGATTATTCCAATGTGTTCATCTGCACAATGACAAGTAGGCTACGGAAGATGTAATTTAAAAGAAGAGAGAGCCAGCCAATGCCCTTCTAACAAACAGCAGCGACGGCCCTGTTTTATGGGCAAACCAGGGTTCACAGCCAAGGTGACCACAGACAGGAACGCCCACAAACGACCCAGTCCCCAGAGGCCCTGCACTATCTGAGCCACACTCACACACAGACCTTCACAATCAGGGTGAACGGACCCTCCTTCTAAGAATGAAGAAAGCCCCCAGGGCCCGGAAGCCACGGCTGACTATCCGTCCCAGCTCTGGGACATCGGGCAGTTGAGGAGCACGTGAGCTAGAGGAGTTTTTTCCAAGCGGCGGCTACTTTTTAGGGAGGGTGAAAACCAGCTTGAGGAACATGAAGACGCATTCTGCAGGGAATCCCTCTAGGCTGACGGGGATGAAGGAACACCCCGTGTGGCAGGGGCGACCAAGGCTGGTTCTGATTTTTTACCTCAGTCAACGGCAGCAGCGTGAGAGGGGGCTTGAGAGAACCGGCCGTGGCTTACTCAGCCCATGTGCTTTTTTGCAGTCAGTTTTCAGCTCCATAATCACAGGGCAAAAGGCCTTAACCGGACACAAACCCTGCAGCCGGTGGTCTTGGCCCAACCTAGCCTAACAATGAAGAAAGAGCGTGGGGCCTCGCTCCAGGATGACAGAGAGAGAGGGACCAGCCTGTAGATAAGAGACGCCGTCATCTCCACCCTGCTGGTCCCCGGGCTTCCTTCCAAGGCGGGCTCGGTCACGGCAGACGTCCCAGGAACCTGGCGAAATTCGCGCAATTGCACAATGCTTGCATATGAGACAGAGACTGTACAGTTTGGGTCCAATTTTCTCGAGGATACGTTTTCCTAAAGCTCTTTTCCATAATTTTAAACAGAGACGACGGGAAGTTGCAGGAGGTGACAAACGCGAGACTTTTTTGCATGTAACAGACAAATCAACCCAAGAGCTGTTTACAACATACTAGGATCAATAACGAAACAGGCAAAAAATAAGGCAAGTGGGTTAAATTAACAGTGGAAAATTTGTTAGAAAACATGCAAAAATAATACTGAGTTTTATTTTAAAAAGTTTACTCTGCCACTAAAATTTTTTTTTTTCGTAAAAATCTGTAAAGTTCCATGTCTAAATTTGAACTCGGATCTTACAAAGACTAAAAAACTGAAGAGGCCCCTCAGTGGTTGTTCTCTTTGGTGGTGATGGTCACCAGCTGCTTGGCTGCCTTGGCGATGTCGTACGCACACTGGATGACCTGCTGGGTGACCAGCTGGATGTCCGCCGGGCAGCTGGCCTCCCCCGGCAGGGTCTTCTTGCACTCTGACTGGAGTCTGTAGGCACTGGATGTCAGGAGGCGCAGAGAAGTCCTCACCATATCAGATTTGGGTTTCTAAAGAGGAAAACAGCAGATAAAATGCAACCTGATTTCCTCGAGCACACACTCCAAGTCGGGCAAGGGTGGGGATCCTGCAGCCTGGAGGCCACATGTGACCTCTAGGTCCTCAAGTGCGGCCCTTTGAACCCAAACTTCACAGAACAAATCCCCGAAATTTGGAGTCAAAGGGCTGCACTTGAGGACCTAGAGGTCACGCGTGGCCTCAAGGCCAAGGATTCCTCACCCTGATTGGCTTATCTGGCACGTCACATCATCAACTGGAATACCTATTAACCAACAGTTTCATGAACGTCCAGAAGTTGCCTTCCTTCAGAGTTCTCATTAGTGCTGCAGAATGTCTGTGAGATCAGGGGTTTAGACACTGGATTAAGATTCAGACTATCCAAAACCACCCCCTTTCGTTTTGCAGATGGGGAACCCAAGGCCCCCAGAGGATGGGTGTCTTATCCAAGGTCATGAAGCAAACAACAACGGGAGAAGAGCCCCCGGACCCTGTGACTGGGCTGACCCTCCAGCAGGACCCCAGACGCGTGACTTACTTTGGGGAAGAGGGCTGCCATTTCAGTCACGGCCACGTGGATCCTCTCCGAGCACGGAATATAGCTGCAAGAGGAAGCCACAGATTACTCAAAAGCAACAGCCTACGTCAGAGCGTGGGGCCGTCCAGCGGGTCAGCCGCCACTCCTCCAGAAGCAAAGTCACGGTGCAGAGGCAGCACCCCCTCGGCAGAGGGGCTCTCAGGGGCCTCGGGCCGTCAGAAGGGTGCCCAGCCTCACGATGAAACGGGAAGTCAGTGACACAGGACTGTGTGTGTGAGCGCGCCCACAGCCCCCTGCTGGCAGACACCGGGGCTCCTCGAGGACATCCTGTCTTTGCACGCTCAGCACAGCGCCTGCCTGGCACACGGCAATCACGCCGGCAGTCACTGGAGGGGAATGGGATGATTAGCGGGGCTGCAAGGAGGTGTGCGCACCAGCTAAGCACCCTACTCTGTTCCCCGGCCGCTTACTCCTCCCAGGCCTCGTCTCCTCGGCTCCTGACGCAGAATAAAGGTTCCTGGGCAAAAGCCCCCAGAAGTCACAGGGACACAGGAACCTGAGAGTCATTTAGGCCATCTTTTATTTTCAGAAAGGATACTCTGAGCCTTGGCAGGGGTCAAAGAGTCAGACTGTCTACAAAGTAAATGAACACGTACACGGAGAACACAAAAACACAAACGTAGGCTCGCTTTCCCAAATGAACTTCACTCAAAACAAACAAACGACCCCAAAGGCCTCACAACACCTGCCTTTTACTAACACGCCTGTTTGGGGATTCCTGGACACCTCAGGACTGCCCTGCTGCCCAATCAGCTCCCAGGGGCCTGCGTGAAGGGCCCACTGTGAGCCCGGCCTGGGGGAGGCCCAGATGACTCTGGGGAAGCCCCCAGCCCACATCCTCCCTTCCGCTGACCACGCTGCCTCATCAAGGCCTCTGGGACACCAAAGAGCTGAAGTCTCTGACATCCTAAGCTGGCGACGATGAGAAGAATTAAGACTTTTAATGAGGCTCAAAAATGTGCATTTTCCCATACAAATTCAGCTCTCAAGAAAATCTGCTTAGTAATGAAATACATGACTGATGTGGATTCTCTGTGAATAAAAAATCTGTGGCTGAAAAACCAGAAGGTCCAGTCACTGGGCCCTTCCAGGCCCAGCTATGAAGTGCCCCAGGTCCTGGAGGTGCAGGGGAGGCCAGAGCCCAGCCCTTGCTCTCAGGGGGCTCCCACCTGCCCGCACCCACCACTGCTGCTCCGGGTCACCTTACCAGCTCCCACCTCTGCGGAGATGCTCAGATGGTCCTCTCAGCTGTCTCCAGCTGGGCAGCCAGCAGTCATGGCAAACTCAACATGCCCCCAACTGACCTCATTCTCACCCCCCACATCCAAGATGGTGCCAAGGCCTGGTGTTTCTCCTGCTCCCTTCTCTCTGTGACGCGGACACTGCCCTGGTAAAAGCCTCAGAGCCCCTGCCTCCAGCCTCCCCCCTCTCCAGGACATCGGCTGCCCAACCCATCTTCCTAAAGCACAAATCTGATCATGCCACTTTTCAATCACTTCTACAGGCTTCCTTTTGCCTGCAGAGTTAAAGAGAGAATCCTCTGGCTTTGAAAGCCCCTTCCCCTTTCTAGCCTTCTTGCCCCTCACACCCTGCCATGAACTTGGTGACTCCTGGCTCTTCCTCACACCACACCCTGGATCTCTAGACTCCAGGCCTTTGCCCTGGCCCTGCTTCATGCCTGGAGCACTCTCACTCCTTTGTCTCAGATGAAATCCCTCCTTCTCTGGTGCCTCTCCCGATCCCACTACTGTGAGGGCCTTCCCACAGCTGGCTTCTCTGCCTAGCGCTGGCTGCTGGCGGGCTGTGCCTGCTCAGACTGCAAGCTTCCTTTCTACCCTCACTGCTCAGCATGGCTCCTGGCACGCAGCAGGCCCTCGATACATGTTTGATGAGTGACAGACAAAAAAAGGTAAGTACAGGATAAATCAGAGAGAATCCTGAGCGTTGAGGGGGCTCCGGAAAGGCCTCTCAGAAAGGGGGGCACCTGGCTGGACTTGGAGGAGGCCAGGGAGGCCGAGGTGAGCAGGGAGGGCAGCCAGGCACAGCGGCGTCTTGTGGAGGGACAAGGGACCAGTGATCGCTGGATCACCGAGGACATGGAGAGGGGTGAGGAAGCTGGACAGGGTCATCTCCTTAGGTATCTTAAACATCTGTTTCCCCATGTTTTTGATTTGTAAAGCACAAAAGCCAACATCTTAGTTTATTCTGAAGGATGATAGCAGCTTTCACTTTTCTACCTGATTACCATAATAAATTTAACTTTAACAAAACTGCTTTGATTGAGGCTATCTGAAGCGGAGAGGCAGTGTGGTGCAATGGATGGCGAACTTGTGTTCTGGGCACCTCATCAAGAGTAAATGTTGAAGAGACGGTGCCAACCTGCACTGGCAGAGGGCATTTCCTCACCTTGGAGAGATCACGTGAAGCAGTGGATAGAGCCCTGGTCTTGGAGGATATGGGTTAGAATTCCGCGTCAGGCACTTACCAGCCTTGTAACCCTGGGCAAGTGACTTAGCCTCTGTCTGCCTCAGTTTCCTCATCTGTAAAACAAGGGGGTTGGGTTTCGTGGCCTCTCAGGTCCCTGCCGGCTCTAATCCCATGATCCCACTGGTTCCCTACACTGTCCTGTCTTATCCTGTAAATTCATCACGATGTGTATTTAAACTGAAATAAACAAACCAAATCCCCCACAACTCCCACCTTCCCTAAGACCTTCTAGGACAAAGCGTGGCCGGCTCTCCCTTTACAGCCTGATCCGACGCACGGTTACCTGCCCTGCTGGTCACTCTGAAGGCGCAGACAACCATGTGGCACACCAGGCACAGAACAAGCCCACTCGCGCTACTCAGGAAAGGGGCTTTCACCGTCTTCTCCAAGAATTTCACCTAAAACCACGCCAGTTTTGGGCCCCACATCCCAGATTGTTCGCCTGGCTCCAGGCTCCATTTTGGGCCAGAAGGCCAGGCCAGTCTCCCTGCCACGAGAAAAAGGGATTCTCCCTACAGCTTCTCTGGAGAATCCACTCCCTCCCTACGCTGGGAGGCAGTTCTTAGAAAGCGCGAAAGGAAGCAGTGATTACGGAGAAGACTCCTCCGGGAGGGGGTATTTGTGTCCATGTGACATTGAGAACCTGCTCCAAAGCCTTCTGTGCCTTACGTGGGACCTGTGGTCAGCCCTGGGACGGGCGTATATGTGTGCAGAGGGAGTACTAAGCCAGAAGGAGAGAGAGACAGAGACATGGGGGAGAGAAAGACAGAGAGAGAGACAGAGAGAGAGAGGGGAGGGAGAGAAAGAAAGAGAGAGATACAGAGAGACTTAGAAGGGGAGACAGAGACAGACAGAGGAGGAGAGACAGAGAGGAAGAAAGAGAGAGACAGACAGAGACACGGGGAGAGAGAGACAGAGACTTAGAGGGGGAGACAGAGACTGACGGAGGGGAAGAGAGAGAGAGTGAAAGAGAAAGATGGGGGGGAGAGAGAGAGAGATGAGGGAAAGATAGAGACCACCACTGCAGTCAGTGGGTTCGAGGAACAGCACCTGTGCACCCCTTAATGATCTACGCTGAGAAAATAAACATTAAAAAAGAGCAGTGAGGGAGGACAGGAGCGGGGCAGGGCATGCGCTGAAGGTGCACTCTGCAGGAACAGAGGGGGACAGGGAGGCCCTCGAGGAAGGCCACCTCCCAGCCTCGGGCCCATCTCCTCCAGGGGGCCCCGCTGAGCTGAGCAGGGAGAACGCTGCCTTTGGCGGCCTAGCCCGGCCACTTAGTGCCTGGGTGACCCCAGGCAAGAGGTTTAACCCCTCAGCACCTTCACTGCCTCATCCGTACAAAATTCTGCACTTGAATGTGGATTAAATAAATGCCTTGTTCACTAAGACCAGGGGACTTCAAGACGAGCTGGGCCCTGGAGCTCAAGGAGCTGTATCTTTGACAGCTGCTTCCCTGGAACTTCCCCCTCGATTTCAGGAAAATTCACTGCTTGCTGTTTTTCTGCCTCAGTTCTCCTGCCCATTTTACTTTCCTCTGAGCCAAAGACAGAGGACGGACGTAGGACAAGAGTTGTCCTGCACTCTCTGGAGACACAAAGGGACAGCAGGAAGATACATCTGTTTTTAACAAAAGTAAGAGAAAACAAGAAAAACAGGCAGATTCTTCCTTCAGAACCAAACATGGAGCTCGTGAACTGGGAAGAACAAGGATAAAGAAAGGGAATGTATTCCTGAGAGCGAGAACTACACTAACTTACCCTGACATGGCGCGTTAAGCCTTCCCGAGCTCCTGGAGACTCACACTGAGAACAGAGTCGCCTTCTGTCAGTGAAGGAGGCTAAAAACCTGGGCTGCGCAAACAGATGAAACCCCCGCAGCATCCGTGTGAAAGGCTGCTACTCTAGCATATCTCATAAGGCGAAGCCGCTAAGAAGCCTTTACTGCAGCACAGAGGGCAGCGGGCCGGAGGAAACCGGCAAGGAACCTATGGCCGAGCAATGACCTCGCTTCGGGCCTCCGAGGTGGCCAGTTACAGAAGCCTCACGGGACACGGCCCCTGCAGAGCCACAAAGGCACAGAAGCCACCGGAGAACAGAAACAGAACGAGAAGGCCAGGAGGCATCAGGGGTGAGCGCCCAGGCGCTGCCCCTCAGACGTGGGACCCCTCAGTGGGAACACTCTGCTGTGGGAGGGGGAGAGCAGCCTGCTTCATTTCTGAATGCTGAAATTGGCTTTCCCAAGCTCAGCAGGAGAACAGGCTGCCAGGTAAAGTGCCCAGAGGGCTGGGCCAGGCCTGGGTTCAGCAAAAGCTAAGCCCAAAGCCAGACCCAGAAATGATCTGGGACAAATGATATCACCTCTGCCAGCCTCGGTTTCCTCATCTGGAAGTGGGTTAAGAGTAGCCCCTATTTCACAGGGTTGTTGTAAGGATCAAATGAGGTAATATTTGTGAAGTGCTTTGCAAACCTTCAAGCACCATGTAAATGTGAACCGTTACTATTTTTCTTATTAAAGAATTCTACTTTTCAGTACCTTTGACAAGGTCGACTCCAGAAAGAAATCAAACTCTATGCAAGTCAAAGAAAAAGCAAATAATGTTCTCAAACCCACAACTGACCCCGCATGCCGTGGGGTTCAGCTCACGACAGAACCAGAGGGAGTGTCTGTCTAAGGAGCTTCCTTTCCCATTGCCTTTGGGGCAACAACTAGATCATCTTTCACTTAGGATTAACTTCTTTTGGGCAAGAAAAACGCCCCAGAGGACATCAGACCCTCGGCGTCAACGCGGCTTGGCACAGCACAACAGGAAGAACCAGAGCTGGTTTGGGAGGCGCCCGGGGAGGCGTGTGGCAAAGCTACGCTTTCTGCAGGTGAAAAGCAAACGGCACCCAGATCTGCACAGATGATACCACCACCACCAACCACTGACCACTGACCCTAACACCACCACCACCAACCACTGACCACTGACCCTAACACCACCACTAACCACTGACCACTGACCCTAACACCACCACCACCAACCACTGACCCTAACACCACCACCAACACCACCACCACTACTACTACGAGCTAATGCTATAAATAGCATTTACTCAGTGTTCTAAGGTTTACAAATATTATCTCATTTTATCGTCACAAAAACTCTGAGAGATAAGCGCTCTTATCCCTAATTTTACAGATGGTGAACTGAAAGACTTGTCCAGGGTCACACAAGAGTAAGTGTCAGGGGCTGGATTTGAACTCAGGTCTTCCTGATTCCAGGTAGAAGGATACCTATGATACCATAGACCATGCTGCCACTTTTGGTTGGTTTTTACTTTAAGATGTTCAAAAATGAACATTTCTAAAATGTAAATAAATGATAGAATTTCACAGGCTCTGAGAATCTCAAAACTGGAAGGGTCCAAGAGGCTCCCTAGTGCAGCAACACCAGCCCCAACCAGGGCCACCTGGCCTCCGTGAGGAGCCGTCCAGGGAGGGGAGGCTCACCACCCCCACGGCCACCCTGTCCCGAGATCGAGGTGGAGCCAGCCTCTCTACAACTTTCACCCAGTGTTCCTGGTGCCTCCCCTCCTGGTCCCCCTTGAGCCCAAAGAAATAAGTCTCTAGCATCCTTTTCCCACACGACACTTCTTCAAATAGCCGGCCACCGCTAGGCAAACGTCACATTTTAATCAACAGATTAATTGCTGAGATGCCTCTGAACTGCTGTCAACAGAAACAATCGCCTCTCTTCCAGTTCCTGCCGCCCCATGGTGCCCTCCCAGAAGGTTCTGGATCTCGCCACCTCGGTTTACCTGTCGTGCTTATTTTCTTGGGCTGCTCGCAAGAGTTCCTGGATGTTCTTGGTGATCTGTTCAGTTTTCCGAATGACGTCCTCTGTGCTCGGAAGGGTAGAACTCGACACGCCATGGGGGTCTCCCACCTCAGGGATGGCTCCCTCCCCGGGCCAGATGACGCTCCGCTGTCTTGCCTTTCTGCCTGACCTAGGAAGGGATGAAGCACACAAGGCTGAAGAGTGAGGGGGCATGCTCCCTCTCCTCTGGTGTGCAAACGGGGATCCTGGCTCACTTGGGGGAGTCCGGGGGCATGGCACCAAACCTTGGTCTCTTCCTTTCCTCATGAGGCAGCTATGGCTCACACGGAACCTTTCTGGTCCACCTCAAGGTTGGACGTGATTACGGAGGCAATATGGCGCCAGGGATCGGGTGTCAAGAGGACTTGGGTAGGAATCTGACTCTCCACTTACCATCTCTATAACCTTAGGCAAATCACTTTATCCTAGGCCCATTTCTGGGATATTTCTCAATAACCTCTAAGGTCCTCTCCTGCTCTAGGGTCTCAGATGTTAGATTTCTTTCCATAGAAAAGGTAGAATGAGGAAGATGGGTAACAGTGACAGGCAGGGGATTCTCATTATTCCATGGCTACAATCCCATGGCTACAAGTGGAGAACCAGAATAGAAACTGTACATTCACTTCAGAGTGAACAAGATCATGGTGTAAATTCACGCAGAAATATCGCTGATAGCGACAAACAGGAAGAGGGAGGGAGAGAGTAGGGAGAGTGAGGAAGGGAGGAGAGGGGGAGAAGGGTGGGGGATGGAGGGACGGCAGACAGACGGACAGCAGGCCTCTCTGGCTCTACCATGAAACATGATCCCACCTAGGCCTCGGAATTTGACTCAGCTGATCTGTTAGCACACCAGCCGTGCCTGCCTAAAGCAGGCGGGCACGGGCAGGGATACCCCGAGCCAGGCTCCCCCCCCGCCCTCCACGTGGGCCCTCTGTACCCTGTGTCATCCAGCTCAGAGTCAGGGGTGGTATTGTCATAGTCGCTCTCCGGCACACTGTTTTGCTTCTCTAACTTGGAAGTCTAAAACAAACAGAAGAGGTGCCTGTTACCAAAAGCCACGAGACCCTCCAAAGCGCCCTCCTTCAGGCATTGGAGGACTTGGCTTTGCCTCCATGTGACTGAGGACCGGGGCCAACTCTCTATTGGAAACACAAGCAGCAGGACAAGGGGTCCACAATTCTCTCCCCAATGCCTAAATCTACCCCCAAAGATCATCAGCTACTCTAGTCCAGCAAGCATAGCGCCATTCCAGGGGGAGAAACCAAGAGGCTGCTCCCTCTTGGCAGAAAGGCCCACATGAGCCTCCCTAATAAGACCATGTGGGGCTCTAGAACAATCTGACTGACTAACAAAACAGATCCCAATTTAGACATCTGTGGAAGGAGGTGGAAGGACCTTCGAGCGCGTCTTGAACACCTGCTCATTTTAATGGATGAGTTAACAGAGGCCCACAGAGGTTATGTGGTTCGCCCAAGATCACACAGCTAATGTGCAGCTTCAACTTCAGTCCTCTGGAGGCCCCTGGGCATGACAGCAAGAACGCTGGAACCAGTCAGGAGCTGAAGTCTAATCTTTGTCAGCCTCAGTTTTCTCATCCGTAAAAACAGGCAATAACACGTGCCCTAGCCTGCTGGGTTGCTGTGAGCAGAGGGCTTCACAATCCCCAAGGTGCCACATGAATGGAGTTTCTGTTAGGACTACGACCGCTGAACCTATGAACTATTCTGGGACAAAACCAAAAGTCTTCTCCCTGCTCAAGACATTTTAAGATAAGAGCTCTCCTGTGTAGTTGTTTTTTCAGCCATAGAGGAGAACCCAATGTTTCTATAGTCACGAGACTGATTCTAGGTGACTAGAGAGGCCAGGAGATTTTACTGGGGTGAGGCCGCTCCAAAGAGTGCGACAAAGGTCCTTCAGACAATTCCCAAAAGTTTTTTTTTTTTTTTGGTGAGGGCAATTGGGGTTAAGTGACTTGCCCAGAGTCACACAGCTAGTGAGTGTTATATGTCTGAGGCCAGATTTGAAATCAGGTCCTCCAGACTCCAGGGCCAGTGTTCTATCCACTGTGCCACCTAGCTGCCCCTTCCCAAAAGGTTTTGAGCACAGCAGATGCTTGCTTTGGAAGGGACTACATTTACTAGGCTAGCCAGATTCTGCCTTGTGAATTCTTAAGAAGAAATGAAATGTACTGGTTTTACAGTTCTATCTTGTCTGGAGGGAAAGGGGCTTGTAGTTATTTAGACTATAAATCAATGTCTAGAGATTATTCTGGGAATCCCAATTTGAAATTAAGCAGAGATGCCTAAGTTTTTACTAGAAAAACAGGTGGCCAGGCACTGTCAATGATGCAGAGACAAAGTCCTGTCCCCAAAAAGTTGTGAACTACAGGGATAGGACAGAAGAGAAGCCAAGTTTGTCACCATCTATTTGAAAGAATAATTCATAATTATAATTTAACAAAATACTCAATGGAAATAGCAGTATCAGGCTTTCAGCCCTTCACTTCTGCAGTTGGCCAGATTTCTTATTGATCGATGCTGCTCAGCATTTTAAACCTGACAGGCTGCTAATTACTGTGGGAGTGAAAAAGTGATCTGCCCATCCAATTGACCTGTTCTGCCCCGTGGTCCCTTTTCACGTCTCCTCTAGTCTGGCTGCTGCCCCCCACAAGTACCCTGTCTTCTGCTGGCTATGCTACCCCAAGCGGCAGCTCCCCCAAACCAACCCAAGCCTCACATATAAATCTATTCCAATGTAACTCAAAAATGATTCCTTAAGAGGGAGTGGCTACTTAGATAAGAGAGTCTTAAATACCAAGTTCTAAAAAATCTAGCACAGCTGTCAAAATAAACTTCCTTCTGGACATCTGCCTTTAGCAAGAATGACCATGCTGACCTTGTAGGCTCAACAACTTCCAGAGCAGAAGTCCTGCTTTGTGATGATTTGGGTAAGTGAATGGTTGCCCATCAGAAACTGAGTCTATGATCAACGAAATACAGGAGCCCAACCCAATGTGTTTCCCTCAAAGAATTCAGATTAAAAAAAAAAAAAAAAAAGGAACAACTCTTTTGACTAGCTTCCCAAAGTTCTAATTGCCTTATGCTAATTTTCTTTTTTTATGCTAATTTTCAATCTCCACTCCATTCAAAATCATAATCCATAAATGGAAAGCAAGCAAAAAGGATTTAAATTCTATTCCTGGGTTTGCTCCAGTGAGATATGTCTGTTCAAATAACGCTGGAAAATAGGATTAAATCGAAAATATTACGGGATCAGTTCCATCTCCTTCCTACGATGACACGGTGAGTTGAAGGGAGGGAGTGCCAGGACACAGACCCATCCACCTTCTCCAAGGGGCCCCTCCCCTAGGAACCCGATCCTTAAGCACTAGGGAAGCCAAATTCCTTTACCTCCCTCAGTGGGAAGGATGATATGCAAACAGGTGCTCAGATTATTCAGCATTTAATTGTACGAACAATTATTACAAGCATGCAGAGCCAAGATCTATTGGTTAAAAGTGTTGCTTTTCCAAAGCTGTTAATAGAAAAGTGACCTGGTAACTGGTGCTGGTTCAGTTCATGAACTAGAGTCTTGGTTTTTCTGCACCCAGAGTCCATCAGACTGTCAGAACCCTCGGGTTATCTGGGCCTAATTTTTCATCTTAGGAACTAACACTAGCTCTGCCTGGGCTCTTCTCCCTAGACCGGTCACTCCCTCCCCACCCTCTCTGGGTCTTTAGGAGCTGCTGGGCCAAAAGCACACATGCCCAGTGGCCAACTTCGCAGCAATGAGAACTGGGTCCCACCTCGGCCCCCCAAGGGCTTCACTACTGATGATACCACACCTCTAGACTAGGCTCGGTGAGGTCACGAGCAGAGACGCTTATAAGATGGCACTGGGCCACACTAGCTTTCTCTTTACAGGTTCCCCCCTCCTCCGAAACGTCATGACCCTTCACCCACTGTCGCCACCCGAGAGAAGCCGGGCCTCGGTTTCTGGGTTTCTTTAAGGCTGCCAAATGAAGGACGGGGAGATGGCCAGTAGGGCTTGAGGGCCCGGCCAGACTACGGGGTCCACAGTGGCTCTCTCTGAGGAGCTCACCCCCTGGCCCGGGGCCTTAGGCACATCAATGTCTGTCACACAGACTCGAGGCCGGTCATTCTCTGCTCTTGCTGCCTGTGACCGACCCGAACGTTGACGATCGCCAAGGGCAAGGCCGCGTCAAACGCCTCCTCCCTGGTTGGTCACTGCAAGGTGCTGTTGTCTGGAATCCTTGACAACTGATCTCAACAAGCTGGATTCGACCTAGTGACCCAAGTGACGCCAGGCCTCCTGGCAGTTCCTGCACCATCGGAAGGCCCCACACCCCACTTGTGAATACAGAAGGCGCGGCTCCCTCCCACCAAACGGGAGGTGCCAACTCTACTCAGCGCACTCCAAATCCACAAGAAGAGATCATTGACCAGCAGCCAGCTAATATCCTCCTGATTACTCTGCAAAGGCAGTGATGCTGCAGAATCAGTGACTGAGGATGACTTCGGTATCGTGTGAAGGACCAAACGGGATCGGCCCCGTGGAGTTAGAGAGTGAGGCGGGGTCTCTGTGAGTCTGCTGGCGGAGGCGCTGTGAGAAGTCAGAAGGACAGGCGCTCACATGCAGGAAGGGAGGGAGGTTAGCAGAGGGAGGGGAGAGGCCCGCAGCGCCAAGCTCCCCGGCCACGGCCAGCGCAGCATCCTCCAGACAACAAGGCAGCAGGTACTTAACCCTTCGTGCGCTTTCATCCCTCGACCAGGAAAGCGTGGAGGGGAAGGAAGGCAGAGACGAAGAGGAGGTCGCAAACGCACTCCTCCCGATCTACAAGGGGAGAGAGAAGCACACTCGGAAAACAAACAAACAAATACGGGACGAGAATCACCCATCCAAACAGACCTGCTGGGCCCTGGCAGGGGGCTGCCGGGGAGAGGGAGAAGACTGCCCCAGGTGGCCTGGGACATGATGCCAGATCTGGCCTCCGGCAACACACAGCCGGCTGCTATGACAATCCAATGATGCGAATCCCTGTCAAATCCCACAGTGAAACGCCAGCTTTTAGCAAAACAAAACAATCCACAGAAGACTGCTTTAAGTAGGAAAAAATGTGGAATGAACGTATTTTGAGATTCAGTAACTGCAAACATGAAACAACAAGCAAAAAGGCCCATTTCAGAACGAGGACTGCAAAGGCAATCGTTACACCAAGACATTAAAAACGAGAAATTACATGAACCGGGGCTGAGTGGAACGAGCAGAACCAGGAGAACACCGTACACAGTAACAGCAACATCGTGCGATGACCCACTTTGTTACCTGTGGCCCCTCTGAGCCACACAAAGACCTAAGACTCAGGCAGGCCTGAGAAAGAACCAGGGGTCCGAATGCAGATCCAAGCATACTATTTTCTCTCTTTTTTCTTTCCCGTGGTGCCTCCCTTTGGTTTTGATTCTTCTTTACAACATGACTAACGTGGAAATATGTTTAAAAAAGAAACCCAAAATAAAATTATGTGGCATAAGAAATATTTACTCTTGGGGAAGAAAAATGAGAAATTACAGGAACAAAAAAAAATATCACGCTTTAGAGTATTCTTCTACAAACAACATTAGTGCAGTATTCTGGTCTGGTCTCTTATTACTTATCTCCAGATTCCAAAGTTGCCATACAAAAATCAATGGTTAAGTACATGTTTATTTATTAATAAAAGCTGCTCTTTCAAAAGCCTTTTCCTATCGCTGACCCTAATCAACAGCTGGACTGAAATAAAGGTGATCTAAATTCATAATCACATGATTTTCTCCCATGAAATTAAACTCATAAAATTAAACACAAGCTCAGTGGAGAGATTTTTTAAAATAGCTGGCCCACAGCTTAACTTCCCAGTGACGGACGCACCTCATCTGCCCAAAATAAACCACTGGCAGCCTTGGCTTTCTCATGCCCTCTGTATGGTATGGTATGGAATGGTATGGCATGGTATGGTATGAATCATCACACTGCAACATGGGAGGCCACAGCTCTGAGACAATGGAAACTGCTTTCCATGATTGTTACTGAGGATGGTCATCTCCAAGTCTCCAGGGATCAGAGGATCGTGGATTGTGAACCACAAGGTGCTATGGAGGTTGGGTGTAACACTTTTGATGTGAGGTTTTCTTACGGGGCAGCCCCCAAGACATACCACGTCGCCAAACCCTTGGCCATGATCCTTAGGGCGTCTTATGACAAGGCTGTGGACATGGTGCCAGAGGACACAGCTCACTGACCTTTAGGATACATGCAGACTGGCTTTCACTCTCATCATGTAAATTATGATCAAATACGCTTTCTCCAAAACCAACATGGAGCATGGAAGCTAGCCAGGTGGCCCCACACCCCATAAGGAGCAAGGCCAGCCTGCGTGAGCTGGGGTGCTCTCCTGCCGCGGACCCTGGGCCCAATGACCTTTTCCGGAAGATGCTGGGAGTGGGAAAGGCTCTCTATTGGACAAGGTCGTGGACCCTGCTAGGTCTGCCTCCAAGGCTCAGGTGCTAGATGAATACTTACCAGTCTGATTCCAACTACCTGTCCGTGCCCTGGCTAGCTGAACAAATACGGTTGTAAAGGAGGGGGAAAAGAAAGGCCTGTGCACAAGCCAGAAGCCCTATTTTCATATGTTAAGAGAGATCCTTGGCAAGCTCCTCCAGCAGACACAGTGACCAGTGATCAGCTGACTGAGCATTGGAGCTTGAGTGGGCAAAGAAGCATAGAATTAGGTGAGAAAACCAGTAGGGACGCCAGAGCAGCGAGCCCGAGGGCACCAAGTGAGCGCCCGTGGTCGGGGGTACTTACGTGCGGGGGGAAAGGCTGCAGTCTGGCCACGCTCTCTTCTGGGTAGGCGACTTCCCCCAGGGGGAGGTAGGGTTTCTGACCAGATCCGGTCTCGTACATGGACATGGGTCTACTGCCCCGGGCAGATGGACGCCGCTTTAAGGAGGAAGGGCTGGAGGGGTCTGGGTACTCAGAGCCAGGCGGCACCTGACAGAGATGGGTGGTGGCCTGCCTCCTGAGGGTCGAATTCTCGCTCTGGAGGGTCAGAAGCTGAAAGAGAGTGGAGCAGTGGGACTCTGTTTGTCCGCGGCAAGCAGAAAGGCAAACACAGAACAGACAAGGACGAGTGACAGCCGGCTCTGACAGCCAGCGGGGCCAGGGGCTTTCTTCCACAATCAGGGCAACTTAATTAAGCAGTGCAGATGGGCAGGTGGTCTGGGAGCCTGGGGGTGGGGGGCTGGCCTTTTGGGGACAGCCTCCAGGGCAGCCATCCTGGGCTGCTGGACCCCGCAATGGGCAGGCAGGCCCTGCATGCTTTCATTTGCACCACCAAAAAGTCACTAGAACCTGACTTTTTTTTTTTCTTTTAACAAGCCCTTATTAATTTGCAAGTGCCAAAATCAGAGCACAGATGCTGGAGTAGCAGCAGAATGAAAAATGGAGGTGCTTCGCAAAGCAAGAAAGACAGTGAGGTTTAGCTGGTGGAAATGAAGATTAGCTGTTTTCCCAAAAGCCAACAAGAAATATTATGTGAACAGGTTTTTTTCCCATAATATTCTTGATGATTCACACGACTTGGCCCTTTTCTTGCAATCAGTCAACTCCAGTAAGAATGCTGTCGTGCCGGCAGGAAGAAAACCACAGACCCCTTGGAGACTCAGCCTCCTTCGGGGAGCGGGGAGAGGGAGGCGCACGGGGCACTCCATGGTGTCGATGCTTCCCTGGGGGACGGATGACCTCTGAGCCAAGACTGTCACGTGCAACCCGGCCCTCCCTGGGCTTGGCTGGTGCCATGAACTTCCCCGGGGCAGTTTCAGCCATAGCCCTTTTCCTCTGCCTGTACACCATACAGAAAAGCTGAGCTCATCCCAAGCACAGCCCCTCGCCTGCTTTCTGGGCAGGGCGGTCTGCTGCATGGGCTCTGGGGAATTGGGGCTTAAGATTTGGCAGCAAAGAGCCGCACTATTCCTTAAACACAATGAATCTAGTTCAGCCTGCCCAGTTTCAGGCCCTAATCTTCCAGGCCATCTTTATAAGCTGAGTGGGGTGTAATTTCAGACTTCTGCTCCTAGACAGTGACTGTAAAACCTGCCCAGATTTCCCAGTACTGCCAAGGGTCACGGCCACAAGCAAACATCCTTGCGTCAGGAGGCCACCATAAGGAAACTCATCAATAGGAGCGCTCCTCCTCCTCTTTAATGAGCATCTTTTCCAAGCGACTACTAAGCGTGAAAGGTCAGACACAAATCCTGCTACTCTGATAAATATGAAAACACGGAGGCAGCTTACAACTGTAGCTAGAACCTGAAAGAAAACTCAAAAACCCCAACTCCCTACTAAAAAAAGCAAAATTCAAAAATGCTGTGATACAGTGGATTGCTAAAATAAATCTATTCTTTAAAATGAGTTACCAAGAACTGACCCTCATGTTCCTTTCTCAACACCCCTCTGCCCCCTCTGGACCCACCCCACCATTGCTGGTACGCAATGCACGAACGGCTGCAGTGAGGTGCGTCCACTCGGAATCCAAGTAAGAGGCTTATCCCCGAGCAGGTTCAGAGCACAAATGACTGGATGGGAAGGGTTCACCGAGTCACCTGCTTGTGTCTCCACTCCAAACAGGTTTTCTTACTGCCAGAGAAGTGATTCACCTAACACAGCCACATGTACAGGCTCTGAGCTCTGCAGAAACTGACCCTCTACAAAGATGATTTTTTTTTTTTGGCTAGGCAATGGGGTTAAGTGACTTGCCCAGGGTCACACAGCTAGTGAGTGTTATGTGTCTGAGGCTGGATTTGAACTCAAGTCCTCCTGAATCTAGGCCGGTGCTCCATCCACTGCACCAACTAGCTACCCCCAAAGATGATGATTTCCACGGTCCAAAGATGAGCATTTCTGATTTCTGGGCCCCTCCCTGTATTTAACTGACATGATGTACTTGGATAACCCTTAATGGTGTTCAACTTGTTAACTCTCAGATTTCATCACTGTTTCAAAAATTGTGCTAGGAAAAAAAAAATCCCCTAGCTTAACAAGCCAAGATCTCAAGAGACTGTCTCCAATGGAAGACACGCAATGAGTGAATGTGGGCTGGCAAATGGGTCTTTCGCCCTCTGTATCTCTCACGGGAGTAGAGGACATAAAAGACTGGCAAATGAGGTTATTTCTGGTGACATGTGACAAATTTAGAATGACCACTACAAGAGCAAGACGGACCTTGGAGGTCAGCAAAATGGCAGATGCAACACATTTCCAGAAGAAATCACCTTCCCCAACCAAAACCAGGTCCCTATCAAGCCCACTTACCTGAAACCTTTCTGGCAAGACAGAGAACCATGAGAGCAAAGGATAAGGGGATGGATAACACTAGCTGGGCCCTGCCAGGGGAGCGCTCCAGCCCTGGGGGTTGTAGTCAGAGCTGGAGGGGTGCTGGCTTTATGTACGTCTCCTCCCCTCTTACCATGGCCGCAGCTACGTCTCAGAGCCCACAGGAGGGCTGGCATCTGGAGCCAAAGTGAAACAGTACTGGGAGAGGCTACAGCCATAGCCTCGCACACACAGACTACACCTTTCACTAGTAAAGGAGGCTAAGAAAACCTCCGTACTTAAAAGTACTCTCTTTTTTGGGGGGGAGGTTTCTGAGATCACGGTCTGAAAGGCATGAGTACCGGGGTAACAGGGACAACTCGGAGGTATTTAAAAGAAGCAGGGCCTTCAGACAGCATCGCTGCAAACAAAGACGATCCGGCCCCTGTGCCGAGCCGCCCCCAGCCTTGTGACGGGCAGTCACCCTCCCGGGCCCTTTGCAGAAGACACTTCTACCCCCAGGGCCTATTTTCTCCAGGTTCGGACTCCCATACTATGGAATAATCAGGAACGCTGTCTTCTATGGTTAAAGGACAGAGCATGACTCAAAAGACTTACAAAGACAGAGAAGAAATGCTTCTGCTCTTCCTTTACAACACTTATTCTCTAGAACTAGTGAATGCAACCACTGTAAGCTGATTAAACTCTCATTCTCAAAAATGGGAGTAACAGAAAGAACGCAAGGGTTGAGGGGAAGGGACTAAGTGTTTATACAGCACCTACCACGTGTCAGGCACTGTGCTGAGAGCTTTACACTCATGACCTCGTTTGATCCTGACAACCCTGAGAGGAAGAGGCTGTTACTACACCCATTTTACAGATGAGGAAACTGGGGCAAACAGAAGTGAAGTGACTTGCCCAAGGTCACACGGCGAGTAAGTGTCCAAGGATGAATTGGAGCTCAGGTCTTCCTGAGTCCTGGCCCAGAGCTGCACCCCCTGAGCCCCCCAGCTGCCTAAGTTATGTGAAAAGCATAATATTTATTAGAATACTGGATCTCTTACTTGGGAAGTCTCAGAGCAAACCAATTTCACTCGTCCATCCTTCTGAATATCACTTTAAAGTATTTTGAAACATGTCCTTATTTCAGATGCTGGCTTACAGAAACTTAACACGGTGCTGCAGGTTAACTGTACCCACCACTTACTAAGGGCAGGGCAGCTGACTTATGGTTTGGAGAACGGGGCGCAGCACGGAACAGCAGAGACAGCCCTGGACTTTCAGTCAATCTATGCTGCATTCCTGCCCTTGAGACTGACGCCCTGTGTGACCCTGGGCAAGTCATTTCTCTCCTCGGCGCCTCACTTTCCTCCTCCATCAAATGATCCAAATCAGGCCTCGTAGACGTAGAAGGAAAAGAGACCTTAGTCTAACTCTCAGGGAGGTGCCCAGGTCACGCTACTAAGTATCCGAGGCAGGATTTGAACTCAGGTCTTCCGGGATCCAGTCCAATGGTTTTCACATTGCTAGGAAGCAAGGTACTTTTGGAAGGCCAAACTCTGCCTGATGACTAACGTAGCCTCTGCGGATCTGGAACTGTAACGACTCATTCGCTGACCCGCGATCCAGAAACAACTTCGTCGCCACGACTGCCCAGTGACCTTTAAGGCATGAGACCCGCTAGACGGCTGGCTACTTGGGGCCACAACTTTTCTCCCCAAGACTCCCACGCAGGACGCCCTTCACCCCTGTGAGCCTTCCTGGGAACGATCCAGCATCTTGTCAGTTTTCTGAAGACGCTACGCTAATCCCGGCACTCCTCTACTGGTCTGTAACTCCGGATTTGCTCGAGGAAGGAGGCAGTAAGTGCTAAGAAAAAATAACCCATCAAAGCTCTCAAAATTCTTTTGGGCCACCCTGGGAGGCAGCAGGATGCTGGGTTAGACATCAGAAAGCCCTGGGTTGAAATCCTGGTGCCACCACGTACCGTCTTTGCCTCCAGACTCTCAGGCCCCTCCCATCCTGTAATCTGGCTGCCAATCCACTGCGTTTGGCTCACGTGGGTTCGGATCCTGCCCTTGTCATTTGGAGCATAAAAGGCAGCAGGGCACAGTGGGCACCTGTGAGCAGAAAGGTTCAACTCCTGCCTCATACACTTAGCTGCATCCCCTGGTGCAGGCCCCTGCTCCTATCCCTGCCTCAGTTTCCTCATCTGTAAAATAAGTTTGAACTTGGCGGCCCCTAAGGTCCCTAAGGCGCTAATTCCACGACCCGTGATGGGCGCCTCCTCTCAGACCTCTTCCAGCCCCGGGGCCCCTGGTGCCCACCACCAGAGAGGCTTCTCACGTCTGTCAGGGTGGCCAGGACACTCTCCCCTCACGCTCGGCGGACACCGCGGACTATCAAAGCAAACCGGGCTTTGTGCGGTGCGTGGGTTACCTTTTTCTGCATCACTCTCAGCTCGTCACTCAGGCTGTTATTCACCTTCATGAGCTGCTGGATCTTTGCCTCGGAAGCCACCAGAGCATTTTTGATGTCCATGAACTCTTGGATGGGGACTGGCCCGTCTGACAAGTCGGAATCCAGGCTCTAAAGATAAACCAAGAGGAGAAGAGTCAGCAGGACAGAGAGCCCCGTGAGAGGCCCCGAGCAGACGGTTGCATGCTCTGGGGAGCCGCGGCAACGCGGCCTCCTCCTGGCACTGCGCCTGGGCACATGAGGAGAGGGGGCACAGTAAGCTGAAGATGCCCTGGGCGTCCTCCACCTCAGCCATGGCTGCCAGCAGACAGTAAGCAGGCATTTCTCACAGCTCCTGGCTCCTTGCCAACGGAACACGTTCTGGACGAGTTCAGCTCTGAGTCTAGTAACCCAGGGGAAAAGCCGTCCATCCAGCCGAGGCTCCGAGGGCCTGAGCCTGAGCCCGGCCAGGCCACATCTGTTCTCCATGGTCCCTCTCTGGGCCTCATCCTCCTCCTCTGTAAATGAGAAGGGAGCAGGGCTCCAGAGGCCAGGCTTCCCTGACGGGTCTGTTCTGGAACTGTGACCCCATTTTTCACCAATTTGGGGTTCATTACCTCTAAAGAGTCTGGAGGTACCAATGACGGAACACTTAGGGTTGGGTCAGGAGAGGCTGGCCTCATTTAATAACTAAGCAGCTCTCACAGGCATAGCTTTCTTTACTTCCCTGAGGCCCATTTGCACCTTTGGCCCAACAGATAATGAACTTATTGGTAAAATGCTAACAAGTGACATTTGTAAGGTGTTTTAAGGTGGGGCTGCATGCTTTACAAACACTCTCTGAAGGGCAGCTAGGTGGCGCAGTGGCTAGAGAACTGGCCCTAGAGTCAGGAGGAGCCGAGTTCAAATCTGCCCTCAGACACTTACTAGCTATGTGACCTTGGGCAAGTCATTACCCAGACTACCTCCAAAAATAAAACCAAAAAAACAAACGTTCTGCTTGGAGCCTGACCATAATTAACCCTCAGAGGGGAATACTCTTATCATCTACTCTACTGATATTAGGCAGAGTCTAGGCAGGATTAGACCCAGAACTCTGTAGCTCCCCTTCCCATGCCTAAACCACTACAGCAGGTATATCGAACTCTCTCCAAAATTTTATGAACCAGATTAAAAGGTAATCAGGGAATGGTGAACAAAAATAAAATAAAAATATACCACGACACAGATAGCATTCATTTGTGGTCTTTGCTTCTCTCTGAGTCTGGCCCCACACTCCTCTCGGTCAGCTCACGCCCCTCTCAGTCAGATAGCGCCCCTCCAGGTCAGCCCACGCCCCTCCTGGTCAGCCCGTGCCTCTCCCAGTCAGCCCGCAACCCCTCTCGGTCAGCCCGCACCCCTGGCTGCAGGGGCCACCCTCCCGGTCAGCCCACCTTCTGCCTGCTTGCTTTACTTGCTGTTGTCTCCAAGTCTGGATCTTCGTCAGACGCGACGCTGTCATAGTCTGGCTGGTCATTGTCCTGACTCTCCACGCTGGGCTGGCTGCCGACGGCTTTCAGGATGAGCTCCACGTTGTCTACCAACAAAAGCAAACAGAGTGACATCAGCCGGAGAAACGAGGCCAGGCCAGACCCAGAAAAGCGGCTCTGCAGATCATGTGACTCAGCTGTGAGGCGCCCTGAGACCAAACAGCAGAGCTCACTCACTCCAGAAAAATCACAGCAATCAAAGCCAAGGGAAGCTCTGTGCCTGGGCTCTCCTGTCCTCAGCCCACGGGAAGGCAAACGGCCGGCAGAGGGGACCTCAGAACTGGGGGGGCAAGGGGGGGGCATGAGGAGAGCCTCCCCGATCTCCCTCAGCAGCCTCCCAGGGGGGCACATCCCACCCCAAAGAGAAGGTCACTATCCCCCACCCCAGGAAACACTTAATGACGGTTTGCTAAATCGAGTGAAGTGACAAGAAATACAGGTCAGCCATCGCTTAACCAACCAAGTCTGAGGCAAGTGTAAGAAGGCAAGGTGCTGGTCTGCCAGGAACCCAGGAGGAGGGGCTCTCTACGTGCGCTGCCTCGGTGCTGAGAAAGACAGAGGCAGTGATGAAGCACTCCGGCGTACTCCAGAGCAGAGGAAGAGGAAGGCTCCGGGTTCGACCGGAGCCCAGACGGCCCATCCCACAAAACTCTCTGGGGCCTGGGCCCTGCCTCTGGGCTCATCCAAACACATTCTTATGAACTAGTCTGCTGGGCAGCCTGGCAGTCGGCTGCTCCCTGGAATGCTGCGGCCCCCCCAGAAGTCTCATCAAGTCTCTTAAGCTGCTGGCATCAGACACCCGCCTACAGAACAGATCATCTCTGGGGACACTGACCAAACCAAGCTCGTGAGCATCCGAGGCCGAGGACCAGGCCCTGCACCCACAGCTGTCTCAGCAAGGCTGAGGACAAAGCAAAGCTGGGCCAGGCCGAAGGAAGGACAGAGCTACAACTCTACAGGAGACGTCAGCCCAGAAGGGACAGGGAACTGCTGAGGGTGAGATTCTGAAGAGCCAAAGGCGCTGTCCACAGAGACTGGGAATGCTCAGGGAAGTCCGGGAGTCAGACATGTAAAAGATGTGCCTGGAAGGTGGAGGCAGGAGGAGGTACGGGAGGATGGATGGAAGATGGTGGCCCGGTCCTACACAAACAGGCCAGAACAAGCTGGGCCTGAGGAGGGAGGCCACATCTTGGCTGTGCTGGCAGGAAAAGGAGGGCACCCAGGTCACGCCAGCCACGCCATCCTCACTTGCTTCGGCACTCTCTGCACCAGAAAGGACAAAACAGAAATGACTGAGAACTGATGTGAGATGACGAATGAGACGATGAGACGATGAAGGAGAAGGCGAGAGAGCACCGAGCTACCCTGTCGTCAGTGAACACGGCCAAGGCACTTTCATATCTGCAAGATCACAGGAAGTGAAAGAAGGGCCCACCATGAGCCTGAATCCTCAAAAAAAGAAAGAGTGTGACTGAGGCCTGGGAAAAGTCAAGAACTAATCACTAAGGGATGGTGTGCAAACGCCTAGAAAAGGAGGCAGCGACTGCAAAGCCAGCAGGACTTCCTCAAAGGCCACGCCACGTTAACCTCACTTCCCTTTCTGACAGGGTCACCACGCCTGTAAATCATAGCAATGTGACAGAGTCTATGGAGACCTGACCAAGTATTTGATGAAGCATTTCATGCTGTTCTCATGGAGAAGATGGACGCATGTGGACTACATGTTAATACAACTGGACGAATTTGGGATCAGCCTCAGTTATTTTCATCATAAATTCCACAAACACCAAATGTACAGCTGGCAGAAAGCTGGGAGAGATGGCTAACACAATGGATGCTACTAGTCAGTCCTTCCCTCGCCCCCTCGCCCTGGCAGCTGAGAGCTCTGGGCTGAATTTAATCCAAAGGGATAAATGGAAAGGCTTACATTTGGGGGAAGGCCTGCTTAGACAGCAGCACCTCACAGACATCTGGGGCTTTAGCAGGAGTCAGCAGTGGGGTACGGGATGGAGGCCAAACAGAGAATGGGATCGTGGGCTGCACTGAGAGGCAGAGCCTGTAGGAATCCAGGAGGTGACTGTCCCTCTGTCCTCCTCTGATCACCGGAATTTAGAAAACATAGTGCTCAGCTAGTATCCAGGGCAGGGCAGCTAGGATGGTACAGAGCCTTGAATGCAAGTCCTACAGGGAATGGCTGAAGGAGTGTCCAGCCTGGAGGAGACTAGAGAGAGCAGGACAGCTGGCTGGCTGCAAAGGCTTCAGAGGCTGATGTGTGGAAAAGGGGGCAGACGAGTCCTGCAGCCCAAGGGACAAAACCAGGATAGGAGGAAGCCAGGAAAAAGCAAACTGAGACGAGATGCTAGAAAAAATTTCCCAAGACTTAAGAGCTCCACCTCAAAGCAGACAGGGCCACCTCAGGAGCCCGTGGGTTTTCATCTCAATGGGCATCTTTCAGAAGAGGCCACGGCTGCCCCTTTCGATCTCTACATCTGGCGATTCTGTGAGGGTGCAGGACAGCTGGGGAGATCTAGCCGGGAACAGCTGGATCACGCCCAGCACTCTTTCACCCTCAAATACAATAATCCTTGCAGCACCAGGATCTTTGGAGTTGAAAGACCATCTCTTAATGGTCTGAAACTAAGTCTTGTAGTTCTGTAATGGACTCCTCAAAATGGACTCCTCTTTAACCAAATTCAAGTTTTGCTCTTGGGCTAACTTAAAATGTCATCTCTGAAAAGAAAGCTGCAGGTGACTTGGGATCTAAGATGACAAATCTCAGCAGCAGAACATTACTTTGAAGGGAGCTGGGTCAATCCTGGAGGACTTTTCCATAATGCTGTGATGTCTGTCAAGAGTAAAAGCCCCAGGACTGTGGGAAAAGGCTACGTACAGTCTCGCTGATGGGCAGCTGCTTTAAGCATATGTGCCTTAAACTCTAGGCTGGCCCCTGCCAGGGTGAATCAGGGAGATGGGGACAAGGTAAGCAGACTAGAAAGGAAAGTATGGCAAGGCGGGAGGCTGCATCCGTCACCTTTCGAACCGCTGCTCGGGTTCCCCTGCTGTCTCCTCTTGGCATCACTCAGGATGTCTATGACCAGTGTAGCAAACTCATGAGCGTTAAACCGGGCTAATTTCTGTCTGCCCTGAGGAACAAAAAAGCATGAAAAATATTTCCAGCTGTTTCAGAGGCTCACACATAACTTCTCATTGGTCAGGCTATTATTGTCTGTGTGGTCTGAGAGACAGCTCTGAACCACTAGCTCAGGCCTCGCGGGTGCTGGGTGTGGACCCTCCCTCCATCAGTGCAGAGGACGCCCTAACAGGCAGTTCCAGGAGTTTGAGTGGCTAAGGTCTCCACCACCTGGGGATCAGCCTCTCCACTCTGATGCATACTGGCCCATCCTCCAGGCCTCACCCATCTGCTAAGAGCCGCCAAAACCTGAGCCTCACTGGCACAGCTTTCAAGCACCCAGCGACACGGCGATGTGAGGGAGGCCTTCAGAGAGGTCAGACAGGTTCAAGCACAAGGAACCACAGCTAGAATAGCACCCAACAGTGCCCTTCCTCCCAGGTTTATAGATAGTTATATAGATTTCACAAGACTAGTCACTCTTACACTGCCCAGTGACTTTTGTGTGCAAAATCAAACGACACTATCTAATGTTTTCTTTTTAACACTAAGCCAGAGTTCAATCAGAACCTGTGATGAAAAACTGATCCAAACTTAAATTAATTTTTGAGGAAACAGGAGGGGGCTGGTTATAAAATGTTGATACAAGCTTCAAGAGTGCCAACCATAAAGACCTGCTTGCTCATTTGTGCCCACTACAAATCAGAACGCCCCGCGCCCAGACCGAGACTATGACACAGCACATACTAGTAAAGAACATCCACAGAATTTACTTGCCTGGTTTCTTGTTGAAGAATATTCCGGATTCACTGGAAGGAAAGGGACGGCTGTTGTTTCGGTTACCAAAGTGCTATGGTTCTGGGTTGCAAGCCACACTAGTGAGGGAGAAGAAAAGGGCCAGAGACGGCAGCTCATTACAACGTGGAGCGACAATGGGGTCCCCCAGACACCAGGGCTTCTCAGTTCCCCACAGGGGTCTGTGAACTTGGGCTGTTGTTTGATACGCTGCTAACTGTGCTTCAACCTAACAGGCTTCCTCTGTACTCCTGAGCACTCTGCTTTATACACTGAAAAGCCTCACTCTGAGGAGGAAGGGGTGCACAGGCTTCCCCACACGGGAGAACGGGAAGGGCTTCTGCATTACACACACAACAGGAAAATAACGAAATGTGACTTTGGTAAAGGAGCTCCCCAGAAAGTAACACTCCCCATGAAAAACTGTACAAGCACAACATTTAGATAGCAAGAGCCTAAGTCCCTTCCAACCAACAGCTGAGGGGAAAACAGCCCATTTTGTCCAGTCTAAGTGAGTCACCTGCATCAGTTTCTCGTCTGTCAACTTCGTCATACACGTCCATGGCAAGCTCCTCAAACAAGTGGTTACTTAGCTGAAACAAAAATAAGAACCATGAGTAACAAGGATTATCATGAACAACGAAGATACGATAAATTCCCCATGTTGTATCTGTCACTCACAGGATGCACGCTCCTCATCAACACAGAAAGGAGTGAATGACTGTTCGTGATCAAAGTCTTAAAATGGCACATAGTAAATGCCCTTCATCCACCCACCCACCCACCCATCCACCCACCCATCCATCCACACATCCATCCACCCATCTACCTACACATCCATCTACCCATCTACCTATCCATCCACCCACACATCCATCTACCCATCCACCTATCCATCTACCCATCCACCTATCCATCCATCCACACATCTATCTACCCATCCACCTATCCATCCATCCACACATCCATCTACCCATCCACCTATCCACACATCCATCCATCCATCCATCCATCCATCCATCCATCCATCCATCCAACCACATGACCTCGCTGGGGCAGACTGGCACAGTGGGTCTCTCATTTCCTCAATCCTGGATGCTCTAACTCTCCTAACATGACTCAAAACTTCCCTGGCTGCTGTATCATATCACTACCATCTTACGGGGTAATGGCTATTATCAAGACACCTGTATCCTTCTCAGTCAAAGTTCTGTTTAGCTCTGACTTCACTCTTCATTTTAGCTTTGGGAAGTTGTTTTGAATTTATACTTATCCATATTCAATTTGACTGTGCTGAACAATGTTCTGGGTGGTCTAGGTTTGGGGAGATGGTGTCAGCCTCAGAGCCCGCTCCTTCTGTTGGCAGACTCTGGTAAGCGTGTACCTATGCTTCTGTCAGAGCCATTCATAAGCATGCGAGACAGCCCCAGGTCCAGCACAGACCCCTCACTGGGGACACCACACCACACCACACCACATCACATGTGATACGAGTCTGGCCATTTAAGCAGCTGTCAAACCCACTGCCCAGGCCACGATGGAGTTCCACCTCTCTTGGTATTTGGCTTTGCTATGAGTTCCACACTACAGTTTATTAATAGCATATGGAGATACTCACAGATTGAAGTTTCTTCTTAGCAGCTTTTGCTAATTCAGACAAATCCAGGCTGCTAAGAAAATTCACAAAATTAATACAAATTTCAATATGAAAAACAATTAAGAAAGCCATTTTCATAAGCTCTGTAACAGTTTTAATTAACAATCCAAGTTTCCAACATTATACCTAATTATAATACAATTCAAAGGGATACTATAACACCACCAACACAATCATATTACAGTTAATTATAACCCTGGGATATAATTGTGACAGTCAATACAAGCAGCCATAGGATACCCCAGCAGAGCTCAGTGGCAAATTCTAAGCAGAATCAGTTGGTCATATTAATTCTTTCCTTCCTGAAATATTAAATGCTGGGAATATTTTATGGCCAAAACCCTCCTACAAATTAAAAGACAAAATAGATTACTCCCAAGCTGATACTTCTTGGGGGAGAAGTTATGGTTTGTGAGGTAAAAAGCACAATATGCTCATATTGGGGAGAGGAGGGGTTGGCCCTCTGCTAGGAACCCTGTGTGAAGGCTCTGGGAATTTTCTCTCAGAAACTGGTGGGATCTGGGGGCTAAAGAAGGGCCTGGAGAAGTTCCTTTAGGTGAGAAACAGGCTGAGAAGCAAAAGGATCCTCCTTCTAAGAGGAGAAACACAGACTCTGATCAACTGGTTAAAATAATGATGGTGACTCAGGAGAGCTGTTTTGGTTTGGTTTTTTGTTGTTCTTTTTTTTTTTTAAGTAAATCCATTGTGTATTTTTTGCAAACTTGCATTTTATAAATAACTAAAATCTACAGTGGTTTACTTACAGCTGTCTTATTTCCAATTGCAAAGCCATAAAAGAAAAAAATGTATGGACTTTGTTATGATGTATTATTCACAATGCCACAAGACACTTACAGGCCACGAGACACTTAACATCAGTGGTGTGTAAAATGGATTTTAGAATGCAGGCGATCCTACCTGTCTGCCATCTGAGGTATAATAAAGTGCTGTCCATTTTGATGATCTGAAATAGAAACCAACCTAAGGTTTGTTTTTATGCCTTGAAAACACTATAAAAGTTCTCTGGACTTCATGTCAATTCACATTTTCCAATTCTTCTTTGTTTTTCCACTTAAATTGTCAGGCTGCTATTTTGGATTTCTGAAGGCCTGCTCAGCAGCCACTGAGCCATATTACTCAGGCAGGGCCTCTGGGGCCAACCAAGGCCCAGATAATGGGGCAGAATGGGCCAGGAGCCCACCTCCTCTGCTGACCCTTACGTCTTAGTCCTTTCCAATGTGGTGGTCTGCAGCCACAGAAGGGGCATTTAGAAAAGGTGACTTGGTTTGGGGTAAGGACTGCTCACATGCTATTGACTTTGCCGGGCTTCATCACGATTGAGGACTACCTCTGAATTAATTAAATGGCACAGAATCTCCTAGAAGCAGGACTAGGGAAGGAAGTTGTTCATGCTCTAAAAAGGACCTTCCACAGTCCAGACTTTCCTACTGACAGCCCAACTTGAGCTTTTCAAATGGTGCTCTGGCCTAGGGTCAAATGCCTTCCTATGTGCGAGTGAACTGTCAATATGTTTGCTGCTAAACACTGTTCTCTGGGTTTCTATGATGCAAAATGAATGAGGCAATTTCTGGCATGAGGAAAGGCCAGAAATATCACACTTCTACCAGGATAATCCCTGTTGGCCATACCATTTTGGAATTACATTACAAACACAAACCAGGAAAAACTGGAGGAAAGAATTTATATCATTTTAGTAAATGAAAAGGCCCAGCTTGTATCAAAAAGATCTGGCTGGCACACTAACTCTAAGAAAACGAATCCTGTTTCCAGGCCATTATCTCTGGGGATGACCCCCCTCCCACCTCCATAACTGAGAGACGTCTATGATCAGAAGGCTGACTTTTCCCATTTCTTTTCAATAACCAAACCCAAACACAAGATCCGCTAAGCATGGCAAGAAGTTCCACATTACAGAGTGGCCACACTACTCCTGGCTATGCCATAGGGCTCTGACTCCTCTCTAATATTCCACCCTCTGGATAAGATGGAGAGAAGGGGCAAATCCAAGTGTTCTGGCCTCATACCACCTCCATCCTATAAAGGACCAGCAGGCAGTTTTCTATAATTTCACCAAAGAACCTTTCTGTGCAAAGCTCCTTAACGTGACCCAAGCTGGCCTTGGCCTGTTGCCCCCAATGATCTGACCAGGCTCACGGATGCAGGGAAGCTGCAGGCCTGCTCACCTGGCCTCCTGCCACACAGGTAGAAGGCGAGTCTGTCCGTGAGTTCATACTGCACCTCGACCAGACGTTCTGCCAGCTCTCGGTGCCCTCCTTGTCTGCCGAGAGAAAACAAAGCACCGTCTGTGTCACACACGGCTCACTGGCTTAAAACACCAAAGGACAAAGACGCTTCTGAGGACACCTCCAAAGCCTGACCAAAACTGCCAGTCTAGAACAATCAGCCTCCTTCTACCAGGGGAACATCCTCTGGTTACAGCCACCTTTATAAAAGCAAGACTGCACTAAATACAGACCCATTCCTTTTCATGTGCAGAACACATATTTGGCAGAGAATTTAATCGGATTCAACCACAAGCATTTCTTAAATCACCTATGGTCTACAATCCTAGCTGCTGAGGATAAAAAAAACCCAACCAGGGACAGCGAGGTGGTGCGGTGGATAGAGCACCGGCCCTGGAGTCAGGAGGACCTGAGTTCAAACCTGGCCTCAGATACGTAACACTCACTAGCTGTGTGACCTTAGGCAAGTCACTTAACCCCAACTGCCTCAAAAAAAAAAAAAAAAAAAAAAAGACCCAACCAAAAAACTCAGCTTTCAAGGTGTTTCCATTCTGCCAGAGGAATGGACCAGAGAGGGACATACACAAGAGTAGTGGTTTGAAGGAAAAGCCTGTAGCCCAAATGGGCTGGAACACAGAGGCTATAAAGAGGCGCGACATTCAGAACCAGCATTTCTAGAGGCTTTAAGGCTTGCAAAGATGCCTCACGACAATCCTGGAAGAGAAATGCAATTATGGATGCTGGGTGTGAACTCGGGTCTTCCTGACCCTACATACAGCATCAAGCAGCTGCCTCAATGGTTGGAAGGCAGACTGCAAGAAACCTTCCAGGCCAGGCGAAGGTGGTTTTCTTTGTTCTAGAGGCAACAGAAAGCCATTGAAGGTTTCTGAGAAGGAGAATGACACAGTTAGGCATGTCATTCTAGATTTTTCTAGGGAACTGTGTGGACTAGCAAGGAGGGAAGTCAGAAACAGCAGGGAAACGAATTAGGAAGCCATGCCAACGGTCTGGGTGTGAGCTGCTGAGGGCCTGAGCAGGGGCAGGGGGCAGGACATTGGGGGTGAGATGCCCCAGAGGCAGCACTGAGAACACCCAGCCAGTGATAGGCTGGGCGGGTTGAGGAGGAGAAAGAGCAAACAACCGCTTTGAGAGAAACGCAGCACTCTAGGGGGAGAGCAGATCCACTGCAGGCGTTTTCTTCTTGAACGGCTGATGCGACACCCACAGAGAGATGTCCGGCAGGCAGCCAGTGAGGTGAGAAGTCACTTCAGCAGAGACTGTGGCTGGACCTCCAGAAGTGGAAGTCCCTTGTGCAGAGGTGAGGTCAACGGGGGACCCCCTCACTTGGTGAGGAGGAAAAGGACGATGACAGAGCCAAGAGCGGGCAGAAGGCATCGGCAGCTGGGCTGGAGGAGAAGCAGTACCACCAAGGGGGCGGGGGCGGCGGTTAGTGAGGAGGAAAACTGAGAGAAGGCCGAGGGATTCAGCAGCTCAAAAGGCCCTCGGAACCCCGGAGAGGAGGCTCGCTCAGCCGAGAGGCGGGATCAGACGCCAGATGAATGAGGAGTGGCGGCAATGCGTACAAATGGTGACTTCAAGGAATTTCCAAGAACGCAGAGAATCTGAGGTTTTAGTTTAATAGAACCAGTAAGAAGATTTACTAGAGGAGCACAGAATGGCATCTAATCAATATTTTTCACTGAAATCAGAAGGGGAAGAAACCCAACCCCCGACACGCCATTTTCCCGCGGCACCTGGATTCACCACATCGTCATCGTTGTAACTACCGTTGAGCTGGTTCACATGCTTTTGTCTCGTCTGCCCAAGGAGACTCTAAACCCCGTGAAGACAGGCCCGACTGTGCCTCTTTGCTGCTATCCAGCCTCACCTGTGCTGAGAGCTTAGCCAGTGCTTCTCGACTTAAGAAAGTGAACCTTGAACAATTTCCCTGCTCCTCACACGGCTTCCGTGTCAGCTTTCCAGCTTAGGAAAGGAGCCTGCTATACACTCTGACATGACAGCGCCTCCATTCAGAGCCAGAACAGGGCCAAATGGCACTGTGCCTTCGACCCAGAACCTACAGACACATGACTTCTATTCCAATGTTAAGTTTGGGAGCAATTCATTCATCTGTTTCAAATGTCTTCATCTTGTAAATGAGATGACAGTGGGTCTTTACCTCCGAGGGGCGTTAGATGCTAATTGCAAGCACTTTAATTCCATGGCCGTGGAATTCCTCATAAATTCACACAAAGCTCACCAGTCACTGATGGAGAGGCGCACAGGCACAATCTGGGGCTCTTACCTTGCATAATCAATGGGGGTTTTCCCACTTGAGTCCTGGGTGCCCGGATCGGCCCCATACACTGCCAATAGCTCAGCCTGCAAAATCTGTCCCGCTTTGGCAGCCACGTGGAGTGGGGTGTTTCCTTTCTCCTAGGAGTAAGAAGTAATAAGAAGCAGACGTGATGTTTACACAAGAGAATCATGACAAACAAATGTTTTCTAAAAAATACAACCAAACAACTTGATTGTCCGTTGCATAAACCAAACATACTTAGCACTAACTTAATGCTAATATGAGAATATACTTTCATACAGGGTGAAAAAAGTTGGCTTGGGCTCCTAAAGACAGCAGCCTTAAGCATGTTTCCAGATTTCCGGTCCTCACACTCGAATGGAGTTGCTGAAAAAGAGGAGAAAAGGTGCATTAGAAGAAGAAAGGGAAGGAGCAGCACCCTAGACCCGCCGCTGGTCCGGGACAGCTCGGTTCCCTCTCTACAAGGCTCTGAAGGGGACTCTGGCAGTTCCATGCCATGAATGGGATTTGAGGAGGACCACCGTCGTACCCAAGTCCGGAATCCAACCAGCTGAGCTGTGCTAAAGCTTTAAGTGTCTTCAGATGACAATTACCTGTGCCTTCTTCTTGGGTCAAACCAAGAATTTTGGAATCCAACCATCCCCAGGGACATGGAGTAATCTACTGTCCTGTCAGTGCCCCAGCTCTAAGAGCGAAGGACCAGGGTCACAGCAGCTTGTACAAAGAATCTGAATAAGGCCAACCTTGTCAGTGAGCAGAGGTGGACGTACTCCCTGGGTAGTCATTAAGCATTTATTAAGGGCCTACTATGTGCCAGGCACTGCGCTAAGTGCTGAGGACACAAAGAAAGGCAAAAGCCAGTGCCTGCCCTCAAGGAGCTCCCAGTCTAATAGGGGAGACAGCAGGAAAACAATTGTGTCCAGGATAAACTGGAAAGAATCAACAGAATTAGGGGGTACTGAGAAAGGCTTTGTACAGAAGTGGGATTTTAGCTAGGCCCGGAAGGAAACAAGGGAAGCCAGGAGGCAGAGATGAGGAAGCAGAGTCCCAGACAGGGGAGAAATCAGGTGACAGTGAGACAGTCAGGAGGTGGGGCGTCTTCTGAGGGGAACAGCCGGGAGGCCAGGGTGGGGCTGGATCACCCTGGGACAGTGCAGGGGAAGGGAGGAACCCAAGAAGGAGTAAGAATTCTGGAAAGGTCAGAAGAGGCAGCTTAGAAAGGGTTTTAAAAGTCAAAGGGATGATTTTTCTATTGGATGCCAGAAGAGACAGGAAGCCATTGGAGCCAAATCAGAGAGAGAGTAAGTGTGACTGTGTTTGAGGGCTGTGTGTGTGTGTGTGTGTGTGTGTGTGTGTGAGAGAGAGAGAGAGAGAGAGAGAGAGAGAGATCTGACCTGCACCTTAGGAAAATCACTTCAGTGGCTGAACGGAGGCTGGACTAGAAAGGGGAGATGCCTGAGGCAGGCACACCCCCCCCCTGCAGGCTATGGCAATGGTCCAAATGTGAGGTGATGACGGCCTGCACCAGAGGGGTGGCAGTGTCAGAGGAGAGAAGGGGGCATATTCAAGAGATGCCTCAAAGGTACAGTATTGGTCCTGGGTACCATATTGGATCTGGGGGGTGAAAGACGGTGAGGAGTCCAGGATGACTCCTAGATTGGGAGCCCCAAGGACCTGCAGGATGGCAGTGCCCTCAACAGCAATGGGCAGCGGGGGAGGGATCAGGGGTAAAGATAACGAGCTCAGTTTTGGACACGTCGAGTTCAAGATGTCTACTGGACATCCAGTGTGAGATGCCCAAAAGGCAGATGGAGACACGAGACTGGAGGTCAGCAGAGAAATTTGGGCAAAATGGATAGATTTGAGAATCATTAGCATAGAGAGAGTAATTAAATCCATGGGAGCCAATGAGATTGCCAAGGAGTCGAAAAGAGGGAGAAGGAGGCCCAGAATCAATATTCTCAAAGCAAAAGCAGTCTCCTCCTTTCATGCCAGCTTTTCATAGGCACGAGAAGGCTGTGGGCCCTCCACAGATAACAGCTGAGTCAGCCCACAGGACCCCAAGCTCAAGAACTCAGACACGAAGGCCACTCAGCCCACGGTCTGCTCCGTGGACCGTCACCCACAGGCCTGAAAAGATTCACATTCTTCCACTGGCTTTCTTCTGCTCACTACTAATGCTACAAGGGCAGAGACAGAAAGGAAATGAAATGTGTCCACTCAATAATATCCATAAGTATTTAGAAACAAAGAATTTCCCTCACTTTATACACTTTAAAACATCAAAAAAAAAAACCCCAAATTTGAAAAACATCTGTATGAAATGCAGACTGTGCGTTCCCTTCTTGGCCAAACACAGCTAACGTGAACTGGAGAGGCAGCAGCATATGTGGGGCAGGGTGCTGCCCTTGGGAGTCAGGAAGACTCGAGCTCCAATCCTGCCTCTCACCGTTCCCATCGCCAAGCCTCAGTTTTCTCATCTCTAAAACAAGGAGGGGGAGGAGCTGGTCTTGACTGTTTCTGAGGACCATTTCAGCTTTAGCTCTGCAAGGTATGATTCTGCAGCCACCAAGCTTCCGGGACTACAAAGGGGAAAATCCCATTGTCCAGCGTCCTGGCCCCACTGCACCTGAAGCACTGTATTCAGGCACATTTGAGAAGGAACTCTGATCAGGGTTGTAGAGAGGATGCAGAGAAGACGGGACCAGGGGAGTGAAGGCCCTCAAGTTCTCACAGAGGGCTGGGTTAAAGGAACTGGGGACATTTGTCTAGGCGAAGAGATGGCTGGGAGGATGGCAGCTGAGACGTGTGATAACAGCAATTTTAAAGGTCTATCATGTGCAAGTGGCCCCAGAGGGCAAAGTAACAAATTTAAATTTGATGGGGGTGATGGGGGGAGGAGGCAGAACTCTCTAACAATTACAATTATCCAAAAGTGATCATCAGATTGACCCCAAAATAGAACCAGCTGTCCTGCCTAGTGGCGGCTCCCCAGCACTGGAGACCTCCATGCAATGGAGATTCTGTCCATCTCCAGTGCAGGGGCCGCCAACCTCATGTGACAGAGCTCTCAATGACCCAGAGGCTACAAATAATGCATGGTTTTTACCAAACTGATTTTTCTGACAAAATAAAAATGGTTCAAAAACACTGAGTGTTTGCCTAGAATTGCAGTGATTTTTAGAAGGAAAAAGTCCCAGGCTTACCTTGCTAAGGTCTTTGGCAGTAACACTGTCATCATCACGGCAAGGTAAGCGGTGAACAAAAGCCAGCATCTGGTACTTGGCTCGGATGAATTCCGCTTTATTGGGACTAGTTAAAAATCAAAACCGAAAATCAATCGCTCGGAATTCCGATTTATCATTCCCTAATCTTTAAACCTCAGGAGACCCACAAGCCTTACAAGACGCTGAAATGGCTTCGAGTTCCACACTGAAGGGGTTAGTGGGGCCTGGCGATGTCTACTATGGGACAGCAGTAGCAAGAATACGACTCCCCTCCCCTACCTATGCACCTCAATACCGGTTTACTTTTCTTCCTTTTTTGGGGGGGGGGGGGCAAGGCAATTGAGGTTAAGTGACTTGCCCAGGGTCACACAGCTAGTAAGTGTTATGTGTCTGAGGCCGGATTTGAACTCAGGTCCTCCAGACTCCAGGGCTGGTGTTCTATCCACTCTACCACCTAGCTGCTCCTATACCTGTTTGTTTTCATAATACTACCATGGAACTGAAAGCAAGGGAGCTACACAAGATGCCTGGCCAAGACAGAGGGGTGCACAGGACCTAGAGCTCCTGACAGCACTTCAGGGCGTTTTCTACTAAATGATACTACATTTCATTTAGCCTCCTAAGTTTGTTTTATATACTATAATGACTGTCTTGGTAATTTGGGTAGCAAATGGAGAATCAAATCAACAAAGGTGTACAATAAATAAAGGTGACTATGTTTGCGGTAAGTAGCTCATCCACACCAATCTCTCCAACGTTCTCAATACTGCCGCCTGCTTTAAGATCAGGCTCATCATTTCCTTTGCTGCCCCTGTGAGACTAAACAAAAATAACAGCACTGCTTTAAATGCCCCCCCCAGTTACAAAGAAAAAAGGTATTTATAAACTTTCCACTCACTGCACTTTATCCTGTGGATTAGCTTTCCGCCTCCCACTCATGATGGAGGCAGGGTCCAGCAAAGAATGTTCCCAGATAGAATTAGCACCATTGTTATACAGAGTTTCAACCATCTAAAAGCAAAGGTTAAAAAAAAAAAGTCACATTTTAGTTTCTGCTCATTTAGTAATGAGCAATGCATGGAAATGAACTCTGTAGAGTTCATGAAAACTAAACTGGAGAGTTCTAGTTTGCAAAGGCTGGCCACCCCCTGACATCAGTGTCAGGAATAAAGAGGGTGCCTAGGGCCCTAGTTCTCAGCATCAGAGAGTGGTATGCTTGAGGAGCAGAAGCACAAAACACACGGTGCTCTCCCCAGAGCTCCACTGCACCACTGTCAGAGGCTATAATTTCGGAAGAGTTCTTCCCGACTCCTCAGAACAAAAGGCACTCACATCTTAAATCCATCACAAACCTAATACCATACTTTGGTTCTAAAATTCACAGAGCACCACTTTCTGCAACAGAATGGAACAGAGGCTCTGCTGTGAACTTGAGAGCTCATCATTACTAATCCGCCCTCTACCCCAATTCCCACTTACAGTAGAAAGGATGACCCAGCAACTAAGGTGCCTGCCTTCACAGCAGCGTGTGACAGTTTTATGGAAAGGATCAAACACCATGTGTTTGGGGCTTAGGTCACTGAGGCCGTGCTTGATGGATGAGGCGAGTATCTGGCCACAGCGCCAGTGAAACGTGTGTTCGAGACAAATATAGGAGGAGAAACACATGCTTAACTCTGGGCGCCCCGGCCTGTAAAACGTGTCAAACCAAAATAGAAACCTGTATGAAATTACAATGGGCCTCAAGCAAAAAGCAAAAACCCAGCCAGGACTTCACCCAGCACCGGCCAGAGGAAAGACGAGACACAACCGGCAGGACCTAGAGCAACCCCAACCAGTACCAACTTTAGAAAAGTGGAAGTGTCCTAAGACATGAAGTCTTTATTACTGCAGAAATACGGTTCAAAAACGTTAGCAGGTACCCAGGAATTTAAGGACAATGATGAACATCGTCTGTGGCAGGAGCCTGGGGAAAGAACTATGACTGCGGACATCTGTCTAGCTCCGAGGACTGGCTGCATCTGAGCCTCTGAGCCACCCTGTGCAGGAGCCACCCCAGTCCTATGATCTCCATTTTACAGAAGCGGAAGCAAAGGGATTAACTCGTATCTGGTCACAGGGCCAGTGTCAAGGCAGAATTTGAACCCAGGTCTGGACGAATTCCAAGTCCAGCCCTCTTTCTATTATACCACCACAAGACCTCACCACACAAAAAGGGCAGTGCTGGCTACTGGAAGGAGTCAAGGTGAACACAAATGCTATCGTCCTGTCACAAAGGGAGCCGAGCTGGTGAGGGTTCCCTGGAGCTGAAGGCATGAGCCGGGCGCCAGGTCAGGTCATACGGGATCCATCAAAGAAGGGTGCAAAAACAGAAGCTCTCTTCAATGCTAACCTCATTCCATGCTGCTCAAGCATTTATGTAAGTTTCATGCCATAGCCTAGTGCAAACAGAACCCTGACTAATGAAAAGAAGGTCCGATCTAATTGACATCACAAACCAGCAGAAATACAACCCATGCCTTTACCTGAAGCAATGTGGGGGGCCACGGCGTGTGCTTCAAATGCCTCACTTGAGAGATGTGACGTCCCAGGCTCCGATGTACGCTGCAGCACTCATCACATATCAAAATTCCCCTATTGACTGATGCCCAAGAGGGATCTAAGAAAGGAAAGCAAAGCAGTATTTTATATTATACAATATGACAAAGGGATACAGTATAGGCAAAAACAGCAAAATGAGCTACGAACTGAATTCAGTTTTCCCAAAGAAACCTAAAGCACACATGCTCCCTTAGTTTTCAGTGGTCTCTTTCTCATTAGATTACTTTATTTAAACCTATCTGTTTACATGCTGTATCTCTCAGCAGAACAGAGCTCCTCGGGAGCAAGGATGATTTATCACTTGTCTTTGTATGCTGTGCACCCAGCATAAATGAGTATTTGCTGACTTGAACTGATGGAGAGTTAATCTGTGCCTGGCCCGAAGCAAAGTGCTAATGATACTCAGGTCACATGTTCAATCTCCACATGGGTAAGTTATAGCCAGACTTCAGCTTAACGTAAGCTCAGACAGTGACCCAAGGTGGGAATGCACAGATGTTCTAAATGGGAATTTGGAACTAAATTTTAGATTAAAACTAAATTATATTTAAACTAAATTCAACTTTAGAACTAAAAAGGGACGTTCTAAATCTGTAAAAGAGCCTAAAGCACCAGCCCTACTAAGAAGACTGGTACCATCATCTTATTCAATGGAGCAGAGGAAGGACAGTGTCCATTCAAACCTCAAGCCTGACATTTTGCTTCAGGCTCCACAATGCAGCCAACAGTCAGAGACTTTTCAAGTGAATCACAAACCGGTGCTAGGAGCCCAGGATGACGTATTTATTACAGGAGGTGCAAACACTCGGGAGAGCAACAGCTTAGGAACCCCTCCATAACAAAGCTCCATGGGCCTGGGATGTCAAACGTCCTTACTTGTCTGCAGCTGGATCCAATCACAATTCCAATCAAACCATCTCAATTAATTTTACGAAGATTGTGAGTGGATCTACACTTACAGCAGCAGCACCAAGTGCAACAGAAGCCTCGATCATCCCAGACAAGGGCCAGAAGTTACTGGAAGGCTCTGATGTCATACAGAGAGCTGACCTCTGCTGAGAAGTCTCTGCAGAGATGCAGCCACTCCTTACTTTACATCAACTACAGGCCAATGGACTTGACATCAATTCCTGGGGAAATTCTGAACTGATCATTCAGGAGAAGGCTAGGGAACATTTCAGAACGGAAGCTGGGCAGCAGGGCTCATCGCGTCATGACACGCTACGCTTTTTGTGACAGGGTCACTAAACTGCGCGTAGATTTTGTTGCTCAGTCATTTGTCAGTCGTGTCTGACTCCGCGACCCCATTCGGGGTTTTCTCCAGCTCATTTTACAGACGAGGAAACTGAGGCAAACAGAGTGAAATGACTTGACCAGGGTCAAACAGTCCCAGACCCAGCACTCCGTCCAAATGGAGACACCTAGCTGCCCCACCCACATTTTTAGCAAAGTATCTTTTCTTCTAGAAAAGATGGAGGGACGTAGGCCAGATGACAAGACAATCGGATGAATTTGGAACTGGCTGAATAGTCTGACTCATGAAAGTGGTCATTAATGCTTCGATGTCAGCATGGCAGGAGGTCCTCAGTGGAGGGCCCAAGGACTGATGCTCAGCCGTGGAACACTTTATCAGTGACCTGAATCAAGGCATAAGTGGCATGCTCAGCACCTCTGCAGATGACCCACAACTGGGAAAGACGGTGAGCTGGAGGACCAAGTCAGGATCCAAAAAGCCACTGACAGGCTACTGCACTGAGCTGCAGCTAATAAGATGAATTAAATCAAGTTCATTAGAGATTAATGTCACTTGGGTTCAAAAAAATCCATTTCACCAGGGGAAGGTGGGGAAGTCACGGTTTGACATCAGTTGTTTTGAAAAGGATCTGAGGTTTCTAGTGACGTGCAAACTCGATGAGTGGCGGTGTTCTGGCAGCCAGAAAACCGAATGTGTCTGTGGGGTTCCTTAAGAGAGGGACAATCACTCCCAGCAATGTCCTCTGGCCCTGCTTGGACCACTTCTAAAGCACTGGGCTCTGTTCAGGCCATTACAGCGCAGGAAGAACACTGATAAGCTGGAGAGTCCAAGAAAGATGACCAGGGTTGGGTGAAGGGAGTGGGGAGGGGATCTTTAGCCTGAAGAGGGATTAGACTTTTTCTGCTTCGCTCCAGAAGGTGGAATCAGGAACGGTGGATCAAAGCTGAAAGGAGACAAGTTTAGGATGGATAGAGAGGAAATACAGCTCTCTGTCACTGGGGCTCTTCGAGCAGAGAGCCACCTGTTCTAGGGGGTTCCAGCGGGACTTCCTCTTCAGACAGGGATTCGTCCAGAGGATCTCAAAGTCCCTCCCAACTCACATTCTAGAATATGTGATAATGAGTCATAGTTCCATAGAACTTCAAGATTTTCCAAGTTGGTTTTCAGCGATGTGAGGTGGTATTGTATTATCTTCATTATTTCCAGAGAAGGAAACTGAGACCCTGGGAAATGTAGTGACTTGGCTAGGGTTACACAACCAGCAACCTCAAGTCAGGGAGAGAAAGGAAGCCAGGAGACCAGTTAGAAGGCAACTGCCCTCGGGCCTGGACTAGACCCTGGCTGTAGGAGGACGGCAGTATCAGTGAAGAGGAAAGTCCAGAAGGTAGAGGGGTTGAAGGTTCCATTTGGGACGAGCTGAGTTTAAGATGTCACCGGACATCCTGTTGGAGACGTCTAAGAGCCAGTTAGAGACACAAGACCCGCCATCAGGGGAGAGATCAGATCTGGCAATCAAGTACGAGACTCATGGGAGGGGGCAGGATCGACAAGAGAGAGTGCACGGAGCAAGAAGCCGGGGGGCCCAGACAGAGCCACGGGGAGTGGGCACGCCAGGCCGGGAGACCAAGGAGGAGCAAATGGACAGCGGGAGGGGGCAGGAGAGAACCTGGAGAGGAGAGAGCAGCCTAAAGGACAAAGGGATTGACTGGGCCCAAGGCTGCAGGCTAAGGAGAAACCCGAGTGCGAGAAGGCCATTGGACTTGGTACTTGAGAAGTCAATGGGAGCTCTGGAGAGAGGAGTTTCAAGTGAATGATGGGGGGAAGCCAGACTACAGAGAGTGAGAAGAGAGGAAGTAGAGGGGCCAACTGTGCGTGGCTTTCTCCAGGAGCTGAGTCAAGACAGGGAGGAGAAATGTAGGGAGGGAGGTAGCTAGCTGGCGGGGATGATTAGATCAAGAGAGGTTTTGAGGGACAGGGAAGACGGGCATATTTGTTGGAAGCAAGGAAGAAGATAAAAGAGAATAATGATACTGCGGGTGTGAATGGGGGCAATTTGTGATCAAAGTCAGAAGGGAATAAATGTAAATGTTCCATTTTTCTAAGAGGTGGAAAACCAGGGGGCCATAGGGGGCCAAGATCTCAAATGAGAAAGCTGTATTTTGAGTGTTCATATCTCTGCTCTATAAAATTCTACAGAACTTAGCCTCATTGCTTTCAAAACAAATGAGATTTAAACTCAGTAAATAAGGGCAGCTAGGTGGCACCGTGGATAGAGCACCGGCCTTGAAACAAGGAAGACCCGAGTTTAAATCCGGCCTCCGACACTTGACACTTACTAGCTGTGTGACCCTGGGCAAGTCACCTAACCCCATTGCCTAGCAAAAAAAAACACAAACAAACAAAAAAACTCAGTAAATAGACTAACTTGACGAAAGTCCATTAAATATTAAAAAATAAAAATGAATGAAACCTGCCTTTTCATTTGACAGCTTGAAAAATGGGTACCATTCAAGTTACCTTAAAGAGAGAATTTTATCCTTTGACACCAGAAAGTCCAGAATTTCAGAATACTTTGAAGGACCAACCTGCATCAATGTTGTACATTTTAAAATCCATAACGAAAATTGTTATTTCAAAGTAAAATTATAATAAAGTCCTTGTATCAATTGACATAGCTGGTCCTTCCAGTGTTAAAAAAAAAAAATCTGCAATGCCCCTAAGTAGCCCCAAATCACTGGGAAAACACAGAGGACCTTTATTTTTTTTTTAAACTACCAAATACAGACCCTTACAAACTACACTGTGAAAAATTAATAGGATTTTTGAGTTGAGTACTGCACCTGATAAATTTGCTTTTCGGACTTGGTACAAACCTACAAGCATGTAGAAGGTGCTAATTCTTCTGTATATCTATTAAACTATGAAGAAAAACAAACGAATGACAAATTTGTTTTTTGAAATTATTTTCCATGCATTATACCGCTATCTTCAGAAACTCACTCAATTTCACTATCACTAGAAAGAGCCCCAGATTGGAAGTAATTAAACATTTAGTGAAAATATGAAAATTCTAAAGGATGGAAGCTGGGACAGAAAGTCATCGTTCAGCTGAGTTAAAAACAGGAAAGCACTGAACACAGCTCTCTACAAATTATCTGAAAATTAACAAAAAGTTAGGAGTAGTGAGAAACTGATTTTTTTTTTTCTAGATGTTGACAGTTATCAACCAGCATCTGATCTACAAGGAAAAAAGAGCAGCTTTTTTAAATAATTTTTTTTCTAATTAATCAAAAGTCACCTCTTCTCCCTCCCACCATTACCTCCCAGTGAAAAAGCAACAAAAACAAAGCCTTGTAACAAATTCAGAGACAAGCAACAGATTCCCAAATTGGCCACGGCTGAAAAATACATCCACGTCTTTATCTGCTCTGTAGGGAGGTGGAGAGCATGTGTCCTGCGTCCTCTGGAATCGTGGCTGATCCCTGAGTCAATCAGAGTACTGAAGCCTTTCAGAGTTGTCTGTTTTTACAACACTGCTGTTACTGAATAAAACCTTCTCCTCACTCTGCATCAGTTCATCCAAGTCTTCTAGGCTTCCCTAAAATCGTCCCCTTCCTCATTTCTTACAGAACACCAGTATTCTACCACCTTCTCCTTCACAGCCATTCTCCAGAGGATGGGCATCCCCTCAGTTTCCAATTCTCTGCCACCACAAAAAGAGCTGCTCTCAACAGTTCTGTACACGAGGGTCCTCTTCCTTTGATCCCTTTGGGGCACAGACATGGTAGTGGAATCCCTGGGTC